ACGATCTTTCGCAACTTTGGAAGCAAAACTTGCAAGGAACGCGAAATGAACAGTCGTACACACTTTCGTGAGATCGGGTCATGGCGTACGTGCACTTGGCCCGCGCAAACTACAAAAATGTGCGGAACGCAAAATTCGTACACACTTTCGCAAGGACTGTCCCGAAACTTCGTTCGAATTTTCGTTTTGCAGAACCTCTCTACTGAACCTTTCTTTAGCAACATGACGGCAATTGAAACAGCAACAGAGAAAGTACGATACATGTACAGCACATTCTTGCAGGTACTACAAACATATTGCAGATCGTAATTCTTGCTTTGGTGGCACGAAACTTTTTTTGGGGCAGTGCAATCGCAGTGCAATTTCTTACTTTTTACACGGGGTCCGGTCCATGGACTAGAACACAATAACCTTTTTTAGAAAACTGCCATAAAGCAGTTTTTATTGCTATAATTTTTTTTGTTTTTTCTGCAACCAATCAATGGAATGCCCTATTATCAATTTGTAAATGATGGCCTTCACATCATATCAATACCGTATTATACGCATTGATGTGCAAGCCTTTTCTTGCAGAAAATGGCACAAGCATGTTCTTCTGCGGGGAAACATGTGAGTAGTGGTGGACCGTGGTGATACTTTTTTTATACGGAGGTCATTCTGTGCACGTTGCTGTAGTAGAATTTCATGACTGTCATGAAATTGTCTTGCCTTTCAGATATTTCAGATTTCCCCACCCTCGATCAGATTTATTTGAGAAATGTAACCAGGTGCGTGTCGCAGATGTTTTTGTTGATTCTGTGTTTATAATGGTTTATAATCATGAGTTATCGTGATAAGGTCATCCTGCATCATATTGCACTGAAATCGTAATCCTGTTGATGTCGATACAACTTTTGGAAGTAGTTCAATGACTTCAAACTGTTTGTCCACGATTTTCTAAAACAACACAGCAAAGGAGGAACAATAAACATGTATTAATATGTAAACAAATACATTGCTCAGATCGACACCTCGTTCCAACAACTACACTGATCCCGAGGATAAAAGGGGCAAGGCTATGGTTGGAGGTACTGAGAGATAAACAAGGCACTCCATAATAATAAAATCTTACACATCTTTTGGTGAGTATGAATGATATCCAGTCGAACCTCTTTAGGACGAACACCAAGGGACCGATGGTATATTTCTGTGAGTTTGTCTTAACCTATTTTATAACCAGTGAATACAATTATTTCTCCAATAGACATACAAAAAGATTTCTTCTACAGCGAAAGATTCTAAGCCACACCAACTCATTGACTCGTCTCGTATGAAACAAATGAGTCACTAGAGAGGTTCTGCAAAACGAAAATGCAAACTTTCGTTCTACGTCATGAAGTGCGAAATTTCGCACGATCTTTCGCAACTTTGGAAGCAAAACTTGCAAGGAACGCGAAATGAACAGTCGTACACACTTTCGTGAGATCGGGTCATGGCGTACGTGCACTTGGCCCGCGCAAACTACAAAAATGTGCGGAACGCAAAATTCGTACACACTTTCGCAAGGACTGTCCCGAAACTTCGTTCGAATTTTCGTTTTGCAGAACCTCTCTACTGAACCTTTCTTTAGCAACATGACGGCAACTGAAACAGCAACAGAGAAAGTACGATACATGTACAGCACATTCTTGCAGGTACTACAAACATATTGCAGATCGTAATTCTTGCTTTGGTGGCACGAAACTTTTTTTGGGGCAGTGCAATCTCGCGGTACTCACAAATAATAAATCAAACAGCCCAGACTCGAGTAAACAAATCCAATCATACATGTACGAGATGTTCACGAGACGAGACTGCACCCATTGGCTTGTTTCGTATGAAGCAAACTAGTTTACTGAACCTCTCCACAATGGAGATTTTCCCTGATACGCGAATTTGATTTGCAAACTCTTTCAATGGGTCCTTGAACCTTTCCCTCCAGATTGGGAACTGCCAACGATAGGATGCCACTGACCAGTACATTACTTGTAACGTACCAATGTACAATGAATATGAGTATTTCGACAACACATCTAACATAAGCCTTACCGTCAAGAAGGTGAACTCGCGTTCCTCGCACACTGTAGACAAGGACGAAGAGATAAAATGGATCTAAATCCGAATAAAATCAGCACACGTTTCCGTAAATGAAAGGGTGAGCATAAGCAAATGAATCGAAGGAAACCGGTCAACTCAGAGATCACCTGTCATCGAGTATTCCGTAAAAGGAGGCCTCGGCAGCGGAAAAGCTAAATTTAGAAAAGAGATCCTGTCAGCTTTTCCATTATTTATTGCATTCCGCCCAAAATGAGCACACTTTTCGTAAATGAAAGAGTCATCACAAGAAAATGGATCAAAGGGAACTGGTCAACTCACCTGTCATTGAGTAATATTCCGCGAAAGGAGGTCTCAGCAGCGCCGAATCGAAATAAGCCAGGCGAGGAGACGAAATATCCGAAACAGCTCATACAAGAAGCAGTTCCAAAGGAGGAAGTTCCTCGAACATGTACATCCGAACACGGACTGCACTGCATGCGCAACACAATGTCTGCCGTGCACGTGCACAGCACGCGGCTACCACCCGTTGGTAGATCTAATACCGAGCACCTTACGTAGAGACTTACGTAGCCTAAGTGAAATACCGAGCACCTTACGTAGAAACTTACGTAGCATAGCGGTGTCGTTTTTCTTGCCATGTGAACACAATAATAGAAAAGCTGACAGGATCGCTTTTCTTGAATACAGTGCTACCACGGCAGAACTTCACATCACGTGACATGACTCGAAAGGATACTGTGGAAAACAGTGCAAAGTGACCACAAGAGAGTTGTACCCAAAGCTGGGTTGCGTACAACCCTGTATCTATCATGCACAGGATGCAAATATTGTGTACGGGTTCATCACGTGATGTGAAGTTCTGCCACCTCCGACCCCATAGCTGGAGTAGCACACTCTTGGGGGTTATGTACTCGATAATTCGAACCCAGTCTTCGTACAGAAGAGCTGTTTACAGTACATCGGCTATGTCCTTTGAACGCTTATTTCGAAGTGAGATTGAGTTGCTATCCTTGTAATTCGAAGTTCATTCTTTTCTCCTTCTCTAGCCAAGAGTAGCTCAAAAATCGATCAATGGTCCGCTGCAGGATCGACTATAGCGTTCAAGAAACCCACCTTCTGTCGAAATTTGATTCAAGCGCGTACCCCGTCACGGCGTGCGAGGCAAATTGCAAAGGTTTGATTCATCCAGGTGGCTGACTCTCTTCGCGGATCTCGATGGCCTTTCTTGCCGCGCCAGCTCGTGCGCGGAGATGTTGGCGCACAACAACACCATTGTCGTGAATATTGTATATGCCTATGCTCCACTTCCGTTCTTCTGGCGACGTGCTGCTGTCCGACGGCCTTTCATGACGCGGATTAGGCAGCGCAGTTCTTTTCCGTTGAAATCGTTTCAGGAAAGCTGCAGTGACTGACAACTTCTTCACTAGAAGATGAAGATAATGTCAAAATGATTTTGTGTCGATCCAGTGTTTAGATGATCCGTTGTACATGACCGGTACGCGGTACGAACACCTATGTTTCGTTCATGCAAATAAAAATGTGCAAAAAATATTCAGCACGCGATTTCAAGCATTTTGACATACATATCAGTGCATGGGGCTGCATTTGGATAATTAGAAGTTCCGGATAATTCGAACTTAGGGCCTGGCAATTTGAGGTTCGAATTAAAGGGAGTCTACCTGTACTAAAGTTGAGCTCGGTGAAATCCGACCCAGAGTGCATATTTGGCGCCCTTAACTAGCACGGCCCTTGACACCCTGGAAGTGGTACGAATGCGGTTGGACGCACACATGTACAAATACAGTGCTGTAATCGGAACAGGTCCAGGGCGTCAGCTTTGCTTGATGGGTCGGATTTCACGGAGCGCAACTGTACTATACAGCTAGAAAATGCAACAACTCACAGAGTATTGAGACATTCGACGACCTGACACCTATATGTAGCTCCAAACACACCTTCCCCCTCTTTGGTCTCTCCTTAACCTTCCGAATTGGAAGACGGTTGGTTAGCGCTTCGGAGATGAGTTGTAGCTAGGTGTCAGGTGGTCGAATGTCTCAGTGCTCCATCAGTGTTGTGCCTAGTTGTGCATTTTCTAGCTACAGTGGTGGACAGTTACTCTTAACTCGTATCCATATGTTCCTTTTGTTTCTCTGATAATAAGAGAGTGATAAGTTACCCGATATTCTCCGAAGTATGAGCCACACTGGAGTATATGCCAAACCTACCAAACCTACCTAGATTTTTTTTAACAAAATACAGAAATCTACCGTGTATTTTGCAGTTACTTTGACCATTGCACTGTCCTATAAGCTACACCGACTTTTTTTGAGTGAGTTACAAGTATTTCGTAGAGTTAGAAGTGTTTATACTACGGAAAATACAGTACTATTTTGTGCTTCAAATGCCGGCTCATACCTGATCTTTTGGCTGATGGTAGGGAGGTTTTGCTCCACAGAAATACGTATGAAAATTACATAGGAACTGCACGTAACTTTCATACGCAAAATCAGTCTGTTGGGTTTCGCTTTACGTGATTTCTCCATGACTAGCTAAACATGCGTTGTTGCTTTGGAGACGCGCTGGCTGCATGCGCCCACCGCATGCACCATGAGCCGAAACCGCGTTTTATTATTTCATTTTGCACATGGTGTACGGCGTGTGTACGTTGTGTTTCGCGCGGCTTGAACGTTGCCATGGATAAATCCGGAAAATGCGAAAAATATTTCAAAAAGTCCTACGGAGGACCCAACGTAAGATAGAGCTTTCCTACGGAAATCTGTAGAGAGATTTACGTATGAAAGTTGCCCTCGCTCCCCGGCGCGTGCGACATACGGATTTTCATACGTAATTACATAGAGCGAAACCTCCCTGGTATGTGTGGACAAAAACTTCATTTCCTCTTATTGTTGGTTATTTAATCACAGCATGTGTTCAGTGGCAACACCGACAAAAACACGGCTGTCAAGCAGTACTTTGCCGCGCCGATACGGGCACGCTTCATCCGAATGTTCGACTTCAGCCCGCGCAGCACGCACAGCGACCCGTGCATGCGTATCGAGATCTATGGTTGCACGGTGCCGAAACTGACCACGGCAACACCGTCGCCAAGCACAGCGGCCAGCGCCACTACTGAGCCCGGCATTCATTTCACCACGGCAACGGTGGTGGCGGTAACGGGGACAGTACCTCCCGTAATCACGGATGCCACCAACACTGCAAGCATGGTTGGCACGTTGACAACTACAGATGCCGCTCTCAGCAGTACAGCAACCGAAACCAGCGATACAGCCGTTCATCAAGTTAGTGCCTCAACCGGCGCTCGAGTTGGTACAGGTAAGCTGCTGGAATTAGAAGAAATACTGTAAAGTCCGCTGCAAACTGCCCCCCCCCCTCCCCTGTGCAAGATGTGCTGGCCTGTACACACTGACCCCATGCACTGTCACCGCTATCGTACGAAAGTGCATCTCACACCTTAGCAGGAAGAGCGCTTTGCTACAGTAAACTATATCTACTTTCCTGGTTTTAAAATCTCTTCGGGCACTAGCTACACATGAAAAATACATAATGGGTAATGATGATGATGTTGTTTATTTCATTTCGCTAATCCAAGAAGGTGTTTCTTCCCAGTAACAGGGTAAGGAAGGGCATAACATTGTAGGAACCAAATGCACTTCTGATGGTTTTTCAAGAAAGTCTTTTTTTCTCGAGCACTTTAGTTTTCAAGTCTTTGTAGCTGTAGCGTCTGTGACTGAGTTCTGCCCCCGCTCATTTCGCCCTCGCTCTCACGTCAGCCTCCCTGTTCTCCATGCAACTGCTGTACTGCAACCGGGTAAGTCGCCGACGCTTCGTCAGAATTTTTATCTTCAGTGGATCACTGTTGCGTTCAGACTTCACAGCACACACCGCACACAGCACTGCATTAGCTTTATGAGTTGAATACCATGTGGATGAGGGAGGAGCTGTTCTGTAGTTTTGCAATATGTGTCGTAATCTGGAGGTGTGCTTGGCTTACCGTCAAAGCCCTGCAATGCTCTGTGCTCTTCTGCTGCTTGTCTGTTCAGATAGCCAAGGGAACCCACTCATTCTTGTGTCATCCACAGTCTCCAAAGCAACTGAAGAGGGCACCAAGGACAGCATCAACATTGTAGCACTCGGTGCTGGAATAGGCAAGTGTTTGGTGACTTCGGTACCTGTAATTTTTACCTAAAATACTAAGTACCGATAATATAATTATGCACGTGAAGAAACTGGTTTGCGGCCTCCAGTCCTCACAACGACCTACTCTGCCAGACATGCTCTCCCAGGGCCAGACTCTCTCAGTTCCTCCTGAAAAAGCAACCGCCTTGAATGCCTTCTTCATCTCGCAGAGCCAACAGTCAGTCACAGGGTGCCACAAGCAACGCCCCAACTTTCATTTCCCCACCCCCAATACACCTGGTCTCACTACATTTGAAACAACAGCTCCAGAGGTTTCAAAGCTACTATCTAACCTAGACCCGTCAAAGAGCCCAGGTTGTAATTGCATACCAACCCGCCTACTGAAAAAAGCAGCCAATTCACTTACGCCATCCCTAGCTACCGTTTTTAACATCTCCTTCGAACATTGCACCATCCCGCAAGAGTGGAGGGACGCAACAGTCTGCCCCATCCACAAGAAGGACAGCAAAACCCAGCCATTCATCTGTCGACCACACTGCTCCGTGTGACGTCGAAAGTGCAAGAGAGGATAGTTGCCGACCGGATCTCCAAGCACACTCACTCTCACCTCCCCAATGGCCAATCAGGCTTTCGGCCAAATGACGGCACTACGCAACAACTGTCTCATTTAATTCACGAAATCGCCAAGAAACGAGACGCTGGGCAAAATGTAATTGCCTGCTTCTTCAATTTGTGTAAAGCGTTTGACTGGGTGTGGCACCAAGGACTGCTTGCAAAATTGGCCCAACTCGGACTCGATGGCAAATGCCTCCAGTAGCTTGCCTTTTATCTCATCAACAGACGACAACGTGTGCAAGTGGAGAGCAGCAAGTTAACCTGGCTGAACATTCCAGCGGGGGTCCTCTAACTAGTCACAAAGTCTAACATTTTAATTAACGACCAATTCATTTTTGTTATTTGAAGAAACGTTAACGTGAACCCGTTTTGAGATGCCTGTGCAAAGATTATGAAAACGTTAAACTTTCCGGTTTTACAGTATGCTTGCACTGTCCTCTCACCCCTCACCGTAACCCTCAATGACCGGCTTGAGCGCATCCAGCGGCATGCTGCTTGTGTCCGTTTGCATCTCGCCCCATTTTGACTACATAACCCACTCCGGGCTCCTGCACGTGCTCAAATGCTTAGCGCACTGTTGGTGTAGTGCTCAACGTTTGCGATCGTATCACATGATTCCACGGCGTTATCAGGCTGTACGTGTTGCCATGCTGCCCTTGTTGCTATGCTGTGTTTGTTGCTATGCTGTGTTTGTTCTTTAGGCGCCGGTGTAGCTTTCATCCTAATCATCATGTTCATAGTCCTGGTCATCAAATGCGGACGGCGTGGCAGGAAGGACGTTCAGGATGGTGGCAAGGGGGCTTCCAAGTAAGTCACATTGTGTACTTTGCGGAAGCTTGCGATATTAGCTTGGGTCTTAGCCCTTCGACCCATTTAGCGCTAAAGACGTATATATATACTGTATTTCCGCGCATAAAAAGCCATGGCGTTATATCCGAATATAAGGCCACCCTCACTTATAAAGCCATGGCGTTATAAGTGAACAAAATTCAATGTGGAGGAAGTTGCATCTGGCGTTAAAGGTGAGTTCAATTCTTTCAGTGAACGTACAGTAGCGGTAATTCTCTCTGCATGTACCCATCCCCCTGGCACATGCTATACCGCCACCGCACCTTCACACAAGTTTCCATGTCACCTTGTACACAATAGGTTCACATTTTGAAATTTTCAGGGAAAATTGAAAGTACATGGATGCTCGACATGAACGTGCAACGGCACCGTACGTGTACTTGAAGTTCATACTCTGCCGATTTTTTGCATGTACGCGTCTCTCACTTTTAGCGCCATGGCGTTAAAACCGAGGATTTTTCTCCAAAATTTGGTGCAAAACAGCGATGTTTCACCTATAACGCCATGGCGTTATATGCGCGGAAATACAGTATACGTCATTGAAAATGACTCCCAGGCGCTGAGGACGTATAATTATATACATATTTTTCAATGCCAAGTAGGGAGCGCAGAGCCCGGTTGCCATGACATGTAGCCTTAATTGGGTTAACTCCGAATGTACGGATATTATATCCGTACCGGTATGCAGAGTAAGCTGGGCGGCTTTCATAACTTCACGAATACTAGACCAAAATAATTATAATTAATCACCTGGAAAGGCCTACTGGCATTACAAAAAGTACAGCTCTCGTCTCGAAGAAGCCCGAAGGCGATCCGATGTCCTGAAGCGGAGTTATGGCGCTCGACCACAAGTCCGGGCTGTAGCTCGGGTAGCTCGTCTACTACGGTCTAGAGTGGCTGTGTACCACGTGTACGTGTGTGAACAGACAGGCATACACTTCTCTCTCTCTCTCCCTCTCTCTCACACACACACACACATGTACACGCACATACACACACACACACACACACACACTACTACTACTACTACTACTAGCAGCATGACTGCCCAGAGGGGCAAGTGTCACCCCTATGGAAAGGGGACCAGAAAACGGGACACGGATCACAAGCAGGACCGCGAATGTCTGGCTAGGTCCTGCTGCCGGCGGAAATTGCGTTTACAACGTGGGCAGCTGAGGGGCAGAGCTGCTCTCTCAGCAGCAGATGGTCTCGCACCACGATTGCAGTTGTGACGCTTGAACCCGGCCGCAGAACGGAAGCATCGCTGACATGTTGGGCAGTGCTGCTGGCAACAAGCTGAAAGTGGCACAGACAGACTGACTGTTGGTGTAGGAGAACTCGTGACAGGCTGGCATCGATGAACAGAGTAGCCACCCTTGCTGCGGAACCACCTCTGGCAGTTCTGGCATTGCACTGATCCACGCTGGAGCTGGATGGGAAGCCGTCTCTGAGTGGTGCACTTGTGCCGCGTTCTATCTGAGACCCGTGAGAAGTTCCGGTCACACACTGCGCAATGCACAGACTTGGGCATGGTGGAGCTCGACTGAGGGGCAACCCGTACTTCCCTCCACTGTTGGCGGTCCTGAGCAAGGATGAACCACTGAGATGGCTGTTGCAGTGCAACCTTGAGGTCGGTCATCACCGTGTCTTTCCACCGTCGCCGGGGACCACAAAACGGCCGAGGCACAGGTAGCCACCCAAAGAGGAGTTGGAGTGGGGTGCGATCCTCATCCATACGCGCAACGTGCCCAGTCCATTCCAGACGCCGATTGCGGAGGCGTGTAGACATCAGTACTACACACACACACACACACACACACACACACACACACATACACACACGCACACACACACACACGCACACGCATGCACGCACACGCACGCACACACACACGCACACACACGCACACACACACACACACACACACACACACACACACACACACAGATACACACACATACATACACGCACACACGCTTTCAATCAATTATTCGGCCTCCACACTATATTGCCGCTATTTTTTAATCTCTTTTGATACTGCTCCCCTTGTACCGATTTTCTGATGCGTGAAGTAGGCGAGCATGACGAGACTATTGGTCGGAGGAGCCTGCAGCACCCCATCACCACCCCTGCCTTGCATTACAGCCCCACCACTCAGTCAATGTCTTGTTAGTCTGTTGTTTTTGTCATTCCTCCTTCTGTCTTGTTTTACGAATTGGATACGAGGATTCGAATTGTTAGGTTCACGATTTCATGTATGCACGCACTCACACACCAATCACCTTCACACCCTCGTACTCACCTTCACACCCTCGTACTCACCTTTACACCCTCGTACCCTCATACTCACCTTTACACTCTCATACTCACCTTTACGCCCTCGTACTCACCTTTTGTCCCCATTTCTAACCTTTGTTCCGTTGGCCTGGGTAGCTGAATTCGCGCTCTCGTACATGCATTGCCATAACTACCCAGCCCCTTGATAAGCTCTTGCATGATCATTTCGTTCTCTCTCTTCAACGAATCTCGAGCCTTGTTACAAGCCGAACTTCGTACTCTGATTGCCTGCGTGCGTGTCGGAAGACTTTAACAAAATTAAAAATTAAAACAAATTAAAACTACAGTCCATTCATCGGAAACTGTCCCACTGGCTTTTGAAAGTCCGATTTGGGCTGAATAGAGGATCAAAAACCCACTTTAAATCTCAAAAATCAGGGTTTGGGATCTGCATTTCCATACATCTCCCATGGCATGCCTGTCCTAATTTTGTAAAACCTGGCTGAATTTCTATTTTCCTGTTCTTGGACTTTTCTGGCCTCCAATGTGGCAAGGAGTAATTGCACGGGTCACACAATGCAGGATGTACTGTTGTTTTCACGATATCTGCAGCTATGTGTGGGAGACACCAAAAAGTTAGGTGCCAGTTCCCAATGAATGGACTGTAGTACAAGCGAAATCGCTCACCATTGTGTGTGAACAGCTAGTCGGACTCATCCGACACAGTGGACCAATTTCATTTCGGAGTCGGTGTTGAAACAGCGGCCAAAAACTCGGCCTAGTGTGGAGTAGGCGTAAGCCATTCACTACTTTCCGAACCGAGAGTCCAGCCAAATCCAAAAAATAATCACTTTTTCAGCAGCGGTGGTAACATCGCAAATTGCTAGCCAATCATTCACGTCCTGTAGTCAAAGCTCAAAATCAGCCCAGATGTCCACTCTCGCTCTTTAATGTGCTAATACAGTCAAATCTGTCGTAAGCGACCGCCCATTGATGCAAGAAAAAGCGGTCTCTTACGGCAGATGTATGGTAAATCCGGCATACCGGGTATGCATATATGCTTCCATGTACTCAAATCGACGAGAATAATGTATGGTATTTTTTGGTATTGATTTATTTGAATTCGGTATCTCAACAGTACATTGTACAACTTGGGAAGATCCGAATGAATGTGATTTTTAATATCACTTTATTGGATATTCAATAGAATATTGGGGTGCACAAACCCAAGAATAGTGCACATACCAGGGCTAATCTTGAGAGCTACAGCGCAGCCTCAGTACAGGCCAGGGCCAGTCGATCGCACTTGCAAGACAGCGCATTTTCACACCTTGCAGTTGACAGCGCACTGGCAAGTACAGTTTCGCACCTGACTGAACCTGGGTCGCGGTCGCTTACAGCAGATTTGTATGCAGCCATTGTGCATGAAATCGCGGTCGCTGGTCGCGCACAGCAGATGGTCGCTCTGGACAGATCAGTTTGTATGTGAAACCGTCGGTGCACGGAAAATCGGTCGCTAACGGTAGATGGTCACCTAGAGCAGAGGTCGCTAGCAGCAGATTTGACTGTATATCAGTTTCACCACCACGGTTGCGTCCGCAGCCACTTCTATCATGCAGTATTCTGTTCTCGAGGTTTGTGGTTTCTCGCAAAACAAATCATTGCCTTGACCACCTAGCAAACTAGATAATATAAGGACATGTTAGGTTCTGCGCACATCACCGGTATGCCTACTTGAAGTAAATGTGCATTGTATCGTGGAAAGGAATGATGCGAAAGACCTCAACAGATGAACTACTGGCTTATATCATAGTTATGTGTGCTAACAAGTACCGTTCAGCTTGTTGCAATCCGACAGAAAGTACAAAACCCACGCTCTTGACCACTTGTTATTGTATCACTGTATTTGCTCATGTGCACAACCAGCCGCATTCGTACCACTTCCAGGGCATCAAGGGCCGTGCACAATGACTGCGACACAATTTAATATGCCCTTCAGGTCAGATTTAACCGAGCGCAACTTTACTTGGGATAATAAAATTCTCCAGCCCCAGAAAAATTCTACCGGTAGGTGAATTTCGAGGTTTTGAGTTCATCAAAACAATAATTATGGTATGTGTCCATGTTTGTGTGTCTGTGTGCATACGTGTGTGTGCATGTGTGTATGTGTGTGCGTGTGCATGTGTGCATGTGGTCTTATGTGCGTGTGTGTATACATGTCTCTGTATGTGTGTGTGACACATACACGTGCATGCAGATACAACGATTCCGACGGATTTGACCAGTTGCCGGCCTACTCCAGCCTGCACATCTACGCCAATCCTGCTAACCGACAACAACAGACAAGCTGCACAGAGACTGCAGCCATGGACACCGCCGCTGCCACTACTGCTCACGATGGTACAGCACTGCACGGTAACAGCGGGCGGAACAGCTTGGCCACTGCCGGAGGGAGCGTGAACCCGGCCTACACTGCTGAAGGTGATCACGCACCGCCGCAGCCAGCCATGACGGCCAATTCATTTGGCGGCAACTCACCTCAAGGTCCATACAGTGACCTGAGGCACTCCGTGAACTACAGTACCAAGGCCGGTGGTCACAAGGAGCCCAGCAACCCACAGGATGTATACTTGCAACTGCACAAGCCGACCAGGGAGACCGCCAATCAATATGAGTCGCCCAAGAGGGCCGGTAATCAGTACGAGTCAGCCAAAGGGATCGCTGATCAGTACGAGTCAGCCAGGGGGACTACCAATCAGTACGAGTCTGCCAAGGGGACCATCAACCAGTACGAGTCAGCCAGGGGGACCACCAATCAGTACGAGTCAGCCAGGGGGACCACCAATCAGTACGAGTCAGCCAGGGGGACCACCAATCAGTACGAGTCAGCCAGGGGGACCACCAATCAGTACGAGTCAGCCAGGGGGACCACCAATCAGTACGAGTCAGCCAGGGGGACCGCCAATCAGTACGAGTCAGCCAGGGGGACTACCAATCAGTACGAGTCAGCCAGGGGGACTACCAATCAGTACGAGTCAGCCAGGGGGACCACCAATCAGTACGAGTCAGCCAGGGGGACTACCAATCAGTACGAGTCAGCCAGGGGGACCACCAGTCAGTACGAGTCACCCAGGGGTACCACCAGTCAGTACGAGTCAGCCAGGGGGACCACCAATCAGTACGAGTCAACCAGGGGGACCACAAATCAGTACGAGTCAGCCAAGGGGACCACCAATACGTATGAGTCTGCCAGAAAAGGCCGCCAATACGCATGAGCCACCCAAGTCGAGTCGTGTGGGCAACGGAGAGAGCATGTACAACACCTTACCGCAAAGGACAGATGGTGCGTATGACAACTTGGGAGCTGAAAAGGGGCAACGTGTACAGCACACTGCAGCAGCAGCAGCAGTCCAGTGCGGACGATGCGGCTGTCGCACCTCACCTTGCACGACTAGTCGGCTCTAGATTGTCCCCACAGAATAACGCGGAAAAAATCCGAAAATTATGCACATAGTAATGGGCGCGCGAACACAGGTCATTATGCGGCAATCATGCAGGATTATGCGGTATAATGCGGTCATAATGCAAGTGTTATCTGTCATGGGTACACCTTTACTATACAGTTTCATACCATAACTTTGTTGTACAGAATTATGGGAAGGTACGAGTTTGTGCTACATTAATTAATTGTTTTTCATCATCATGACGCGCGGCCAGGCACAGTGTGCATTAGTTCTTCCGCCTGTTTCTACGCAATATGGCATGCGTTCTATTTCTTTCCTGGCGGCAGACAGATGGAATGCTCTTCCCACTGACTGCCGTCAGGCCCCGTCTCTTACTCTGTATGTAAACATGGTAAAAATTCACCTAGGGTTCCCAGTAAAAAGGCAACGCCTGTTGGGACTCCCCCAAAGTAAAATAATAAAATCTACTACTACTATGACTGTAATATTTTCTTGTACATTCCCATGCTTTGTTTATGGTGCTGCGTTGGCACTGTCTTCTCAGAGTTTCTGAAACGACGATAATATTGCAGTGCCTAAATATAAGCATGCTGACTTTGCATCTCTTCCACTCGCCAGGCGGCCCATGTCCGCGTATGACTGCACTACTTATACTAGGGATTGATGCTCCTGGGGTACTGGGCATGGTGGATAGCAATGTGTGCATTGATATGAAGAAAATCTTCACTAGTTTATGATGAAGAAAAATAAACAGACTTGGAGTGTCCTTTTTGTTGTACCTTCTTCGCACAGCATTCATGACATAGCGGCATGTAAACCAGCCATGCATGTAAGCATTTGGAGAATCAGTGTCGGTGATGTTGCTCCGCTTTCATTTCTTCTGGACGTGCCCACACATACAAACAATGCATCGGTATTCCCTGAGAAACGAACAGGCGCTCAAATCCCCCTCCCCAAACGACTAGTTTTCGTTTCTAATTATTTAGGGGTCGTCCATTAATATCGAACCCTTTTCACAAAACGAAATAATTTCGTTAGGGGGTGGGAGGGGGTACCGGGTTGACCAATTTCGTTTCAGAAAACATTGATTCATGTACATGGCCATAGGACTGATATATATCATATAATTATCATACGGTCCACTGCATACTACCGGGTAGTATTTAAAGGGGAAGTATACCCTAAATCAAATTTTCACCAGTTGTAGTCTTCTGGGTGCTGAGTCGAATGGTCTTGGTCCGAGGAAGCTGCGACGCTCCCTTCCTACTTGAATCCCAATCGAACTCGCGCACTTCCACCGAAACTGGGTGACTGCGCCCTACTAGATGGGGATTTGTATGCAAAATGTCACTAAAAGCGCCATTTCGTTCTTATAAAAGCACGGATGACCGCGATTGGCCCATATGTTGTAGTCTTTTGGACGCTGAGTCGACTGGTTTTGGTCCGAAAAGGCTGCGATGCAGCGTTCCTCCTTTATTCCCAATCGAACATGGTTGAACAAGCGGTCACGTGCTCCTGCGTACGCCAGTCACCTAGCACTAGGCCTAGCCCAAATTTGCTCGGGGCGCTTCGATATTTTGCCGGCAAATTTTGCCCGATCACTTTCCATATTTTGCTTGGCATTGCCTTTCGTTTCCGATATTTTGCTCCATTTTGCTCCTGCTTTGTGGCAAAAATGGCTTCGAATGAACCGTCTACTTTGGTAAAAGTGGATGGTGACTCTGATGAGGAAAGCAAAACTTATAATGGTGTCAGTATTACGGATTTTGGAGCATGATTTCAAATTTATGTACCCCTGACAACATGCACGAGCTATTTCAGCACGACGTTGGCCCAATGAAACCAACGAAATTCGAATAAAATTACCAAAACACACCCGGATCCTCTGTCAATTCGATATTTTGCTCGGAATTTGCCAGCAATTTCTTTTCGTTGGAAAATTCGATATTTTGCTGGAAGAATTGCCGGCAAATTTGGGCTAGGCCTACCTAGCACCTGGTCACCGTGCCTGCAGGGTACAACTTACTAGCCTGTTTGACCTTTTTTGGGTGCAGTCCTGTCACTCGAGTTGAACCTTGCCCTTGGTGTGAAAGTTGTCGCCTGCTGGCGTGGTGACCAGGTGATTTGGGCACGCAGGAGCACGTGACCGCTTGTTCAAGCATGTTCGATTGGGAATAAAGGAGGAACGCTGCATCGCAGCCTTTTCGGACCAAAACCAGTCGACTCAGCGTCCAAAAGACTACAACATATGGGCCAATCGCGGCCATCCGTGCTTTTATAAGAACGAAATGGCGCTTTTAGTGACATTTTGCATACAAATCCCCATCTAGTAGGGCGCAGTCACCCAGTTTCGGTGGAAGTGCGCGAGTTCGATTGGGATTCAAGTAGGAAGGGAGCGTCTCAGCTTTCTCGGACCAAGACCATTCGACTCAGCACCCCGAAGACTACAACTGGTGAAATTTTAATTTTTGCCTTAACTTCCCCTTTAAACGTTCCTTTATTGGAGACTGTTCCATTATTATTTCAACCTCATTTCAGAGGCATGTTGCCATGCCAAATTCATGTATGACACACACATTTCAGGGTGTTTTTCGCCAGTACAGACAATGAATTTACACAGTGTGCTTATATTGGAGACTGAGCACTTTATTTTTTGAATGCCGCCCCAAGGTGTTTAGTCCATCGGCCAAGTCTCAAAATCGAAAGTGGTGATGCACTGAGCTTCCAACTAAACGCGACCATACCCAGCACGTAGAGAATATATCAGAGAACACTATTCCGTTTGTTGGACGTGCCGAATTCAGTCCAGGGCGTCGATACGAAGCGTTCTTCGTCGCCGAGTTTTTTACTGTGCGCTCCATTTGAGAGTGCGCAGAGTTCTGATCGAGAGTTTTTTGAGCAGATTTTCAAATTTTTGAGGCTGTCAGCTGACAGCTGTCAACCCTAAATGGCACTTAGTATGTGACAGGCAATAGGTTTTGGTGCCTCCGTATGCCTTCTAATAAGTTCTATCTTCCTTCGTTTCAATTCGCTGCTTCGCCCACCACCTCAGGAGGTGACAGCGTACCTGCACTAGTCAGCTCTCGCTAACCCTGTCTCTCTTTCTCCGTCTTAGCGCTCGTCATTCGTGTCCTTCTGCTGGGGCGAGCTTGATACTGTTGTGTCGTAGTTTTTAGACAATAGTGGCTGTTGCTCGCGTGACGATCAGGATTTATGGAGAAAGACGACGACTCGCCAAGTTCCCATGCAGCCACAGACGGCGTAGCAATTCTTACCGCCAACCCTTCGAGCAACGGAACCGGCCTGAGTTGGAAATCGTGTCTGTGTAATTGTGCCACGATACGGATGAAACACACAGGCTCACATGTGACGAGATGAAGATAATCTCAACAGGCTGACAGAAATCCAACAGGCTCACGGGAACGCTGCAGTTATGGTCGGAGACGCGGAGTTATTTAGTCACTGGTAAATGTTGCATCGAGTGCTGTGTGCTCTAACACAATTGTAAAAAATCATGAAAAAGCGAAAATAATGCAATGGTGGGGCTGAGTGGTGTTCTTTGGAGGAGACGTCGCTGTCTCAGTATTCAACGCCGGACCCTGTATTTCAAGTCTGTGGTCATGCTCGATCATAAGTTCCTGTATGGCTCCAGTGCCTTCTCAGCATTGTTGGCGGGTAAACACCTGGATCGTGTCCAAGTACTGCGGCTCTGGTGGCTTGAGGGATGTACGGGTGCTCGCCGTGCACCCCTGCCGGCAATCTGCTAGTGAAGCTTGGTACCTACTGTGTCTGGGAGATTTTCATCCAGAAGCTGATCTTCCTAGGCTGGAGCTGCTGCTACTCCTGTGCTAGCCCTCAACCACTGGCGCTCCTACTCGGCTCCAGTGTGGGCCATTAACCACCCTGCCCGATTTCGCACTGTTGCTATTCCACACCGTCAGCATTTAACTCTGAGGTCAGACCTTGATCCCTCCCACCATATGCTATCTGTCTGTCTGCCTCTCTTTCACACACAGATGTGCGCGCATACACACACACACACATGCACACACAGTGACACAAACATACACATAGCCAACTTCTCTGTGTTTGGTGATCATCATCTGTTTTCTGATGTGCAAACTCACCTCTGATGCCGATTACTTCCTTGCTTAGACCCGGTCTGCTATTAGACCAGTCTGCTCTCCCTTCACTCGCTTGTAAATCCTACTTGGAGCAATAAGGTTGTGTCACTGCTCCTACTGATGTCATTGTTGTGAAAGCAATATGATCGCCATTGGTGGTAATTTTCCACCGTGCATGAATCATTAACAATCATCATCTATGTGTCACGGCCTAACCATCCTCGTAACTCCCCTCATCGTGACTAGTGCTGTACCGTTGAAACCTACTTTGCTTCAGTGTATATTCGCTCCAAAGCTCTTGTTTTGTTGCATAGTGATCTGACGCAGTGTGCTATAGCCTATCGGGTAATATGGATAAGATTAGTACAGTCGGCATCGCCTATCGAGTGACCAGGTACATGTATAAGGATACTAGTACATGTATACCGGCTTAACGGTATCGGAACACAAATAGCACTATGTGTGCAATATTCCTTTCTAAGCTCACGCTGTGCGGTGCAGATAGGTCATGTGTCGTTGCCAACTTGCCGCATGTGCATGTGCAGCAGGAAGACACCACATGTCGACTACTACTTATACTGTGCAGCATTGTGGGCTTACATGCATCTACGGCCTTGTGGATGCAATTGAGTCTCACACACATGTACATGAAATATTGCGTGTAGTGCGGCATCAGTTAACATACAGTGGCTAAATATTTTTCTCGCAATAATGACCGTATTCACCACAAGTGTGTTTATGTCCAGAGCCAACTCAAGTCCTGTATTATTTATGACCATGACAACAAGACTTCCGGGCTGAAATTCTTCTATGACAGGCATGAACACTTGCCTTACAATTGTTCGTGATTGTACGAAGTACATATTCGCTGTTGCATCAATTTTGCACCATTTACATTGTAGTGCCACTAGTGGTATCACCTGCATGCGTATTGAGTCAAACAAGGTTACCTCTGTATAATTATGCTTATCGTGGCTATCAAGAGCTTCGATGCAAATTCCCAGCTGACGAATGGTGCCCACTGTCCAGCTTGTGTTCAGCTCAGCTGGCACTCACAACTCATAATAATTGCGTTCTAGACGCCAGATGAGATGTTTCAGCTACAATGTAGACACAACGTCCGTGTTCAAGAAAGCCGTCACTTCATCTTCTGTCCATCCTCAATAGCACGTTCAAGCAAATACATCTGAAACACAGTAGCGACAATCCGACAGCGGCGACACGCCGTCTTCTCCGAATGAGCTTCTACTGTTCTAATTCAGATTCCCCCAAAAATGTCAAAAGAAATAATAGATTTCCACCAAGCTCGCTAGAATCTTGCGAACCGTCAACATGCAGGCATTTCAAGTGTTCGAGCGTGCGTAGATTCTGCTCAGCGGCTCAAGAACATTCGCCAAGCGAAAAAAAAGTCGATGAGAAAGATGTAATGGTGGACGAAATTACGAAAATCGGAAGAAGGTATTCGACCCAGTTCGACTATCCTGGACTGGATTGGCAACGTCCAACAAACGGATTCGTATTCTATGCGGTCTCATGAGCTAGTGTGCCAAAGGGCGTTTAGTTGGAGCTTCAGTGCATCACCTTCGCCGAAAGAGGCCCTTTCTGAGATTTGGCCGATGGACTAGTTCTATTATTGGAGACGTGCTATTAATAGTATTATCAGTCCTGGAGATGTCCTAGATAGGACATCACGGAACCCAGCATGCCCCAGCATACATGCTATGCTGTTCCCATAGTAATCGTGACACGTGACTCAAAACTTTGTGTCGCGTCCGAGGAAGATGAATATGTCGCACTCAAAACAAACGCAACGAAGGCCTTTCGTCTCAAAAGTAAAGAGTTGTCGTTCTCCTGGCGGCTTGCCTCAAGCGAGTCGAGATTCGTATCTTGCCTCTTGCCTTCACGAATTTTACTTTCCTCGTTGTGGAGTACGCCTGGACAAAGGAACTGGCAAGCGAATCGTTTTGGTCGCATTGAAAATTGCAAGTGCACAAGAGGATTGGCGAAGCAATTTGTGTTCGCACTTTCACCAGAGCAGTAGCTGCTGCTGCGATAAAGTTTTTACTTTCGCCATTGGTTTCAGGCAGCAGAAGGATCTGGCTGAAAGCGATGGCGATACGTCCATGACCACCACGTCCTGGGTTGATATCCAAGAAAGACCGTCCAAGGTCCAGTTTTAGCCAAGAGCTGTCGTATCCAAGAAATCAAAAACGCCAACAGCAAGCTTCGGCCAAATAATATCTTCCAGGCAGTATTTTACGGGCCTAGCGCCTGCTGTCTCGTCTTCCTCCTCTGCATGGCCAGGTTTGGGGCGAAATGAACGCACGGGGCGTGAAGAAACCAGGGAGTAGTACTCCTCCCTGAAAGAAACATGCCAAAGGCAAAACATTCAAAATAATTATAACCAATCGTTTCCAAAGAAGCGCCGCGTGGCTACGAGAAACCCCACATGAAATCCCCAAACGGAAACGGCCATTCGGTCGGGTATTCGATGGCGAATCGAATATACACTACCTCAATCCCCGCCGATGTCTGATATTCTCCGCCTATTCCCTCAAACTTGACCAATTCGGAAAGAAATCCATCGCCATTACGATCGTGCATCCTCCACATACATTCAGAAATGCTCACGCAGCACTTCTTTTCATCGCGTGTGCATGTGCGCGACCGACGCTTCCATGACAACTCTGGGACAGGTAACCAATCAGACTCATTCAGAGTGCGATGTCCTAGATAGGACATCTAGACTGTGCTTATATTAGAGATAATACGGTATGTCATGTAACTGTAATGACATAATTATTAAATTTTATTATGTAGATCTACCAGGCCTGCAGCCTGTGCAGGACGACCTCGGCTAGGATCGATCGGGACTTTGCGCCAGCCGCAAATGTCGCGGAGAGGCTGGGCGCGCCTCGCGCGGCTTCCAAGTCCGAAGAAGCAACACAGCGCATGCCAGTCAGTGCGTTTTCGGCACATTTTTGGAGAGATGTGAGGCGACGAATCTTGCACTTAGCATGGCCGTGTTTGGTGTTCTGTCCAGTGATTCTCTCAGTTGTGTCAGTCGTAAAGTAACGGGACTGTATCGCTACGTCTATCCAAAGCTGCTTCGTCAATCACACGGCCGGGGATAGGCAGGCTCCTCTCCGTACCGCTACGGCAAAGAACGTGAGGCGAGTCGACGAAGAGGACAGCTGACACATGGCTGTCACAATTCGCTCTCCTCGACATGATGGCATCAGCTGCTGTGCCCGCTACTACACTCTACAGCCAGTACAGGCGTGTTCGACCTTCGCTGGGTCGCCCCTCCGAGCAAAGCCTCCTCCTAAAGAGTTACAAATGAAAGAGTCCTGACGGGCGAGATGCTTGCGGAAGAAATCCTTCTCGCCCTCTCGACAAACCGAACACCGGGGCAGAGCAGACGTCGCTGAGTGCAGGGAGGAGGAGAGGCAGTGCTTGTTCCCTGCACCACCATGGCGAGTGTTGGCAGTGGATTCGACCTACCACTACGCACTTTATGTGTTACGGCGGTTCTGACGCTCTTCATTGGCTACGGTAAGAAATTCATTTTTAGATTTTTCAGTCGTTGCTGTTTCAGTGCATGCGTCCTTTTCACTTTGAGCACACACGCACACTTTTAAAAGTCTTTGCGGGGAGTCTTCCGAGAGCGGCGGACGCGACTGAGACAGCCAAAAATGACCCCAAGGCCCAAATAGGCACATCCATTAATTTTTTGTGTGGAATTGCCAGTCTTGGTGTCAGTGACGATCGAGGTCGTCAGGTGACTGAATGAACGGGTCGGCATTCATCCATCTTTTACCACCAGTACATGGATGACTGTGAAAATTTGTACTGCAATTGCTTTTGCCTTTGTGTAGTAATAACTGTTCATGTAGAGGCGACGGTCTCAAATAGGACCTAGGTTGCAAACCGGAACGGTCTCAATATTCACTTTCTCTCTTGGTATTTTGATTAGAAACATTTATCACAGTGAGACTACGATGTGTTTTACTCAGCGCCAAAATTCCATGGCTCTGCGATGACCAGAAGCGCCATACCAAGCATTTGAGTTTTTGACGTGTTGCTTCCCACTGCGACTTGAGTTTTACGACTTTCGAAAAATCAACTTCTTGTCGCAGGTAAGCAGCGGCTTGCCTCTCGCCAATAAAGCACCGCATACCGATCAAAACTAATGGAAGCACACACAAGGCTTATTGTTACTCTGTACTGGCCGTCGTGGAGTGATAGCAATTACCTAATTTCAGACCCAGAGTGAATTTGACGTGCACTCTAAAACATGTCCGGTTTGGAGCCACCTCTGATTTGCAGCGAAACATTTTGCAACTTGGAGGCAATGGGTCAACACAAAGGAGTGGCTCAGTTCGATTAACTCTGGCCTCAGAGCAAACTTCAACATGCCAGTTTCCTTCCACAAACATATTTCGAGTGAACAATCAACGCTGATGATCGGTTTGGGTCTATACAAATTTGGCTGTCAAGCCGTTCCGGTATCGAACCGTCGCCTCTACACTCGTATCTCTCTCGTTATCCGGGCACTCCGGCGGCTGGTCACTGCCCACAACTTGGAAATGTCAGTAACTCTGCATCATACGTTTTGAAGGGGAAAGGCCAGATATCTGACATATGACGTCACTAATTCCACAAAATGACGCAAAAGTGTGGTAATATTCCCACTAAAACTCACCCGCAACTATTCCTTGGAGGTGTGGATAGGAGGGGTATGACTGTAGTCCCCATTCATCAGCTAGGTTGTCATGGAGACAAGTCACTGGCATCCAGATAGCATACGGCCAACGGTTGTATGGGATTCCTTTGCAAGTTAGTGTAAGGAGTGAGATTAACACACAAGAAACTTTCCCTCTCCTGCATGTGCGTCCACCCATTTCCCGCTCTCACCCCATGTAGCTTCAAATCATCCTTTCTCCCAGCCAACCCTGTCCCGTCCTACTCTCTCCCACCCCATCCCTCTGTCACACCACCCTGTCTCACCCATTGTTCTCTCCGTCACCCCAACCCCTCTTTCCACCCCATCCCCTTTCCCACCGTATCCCCTCATTCACCCCATTCCCAGTCTCACACACCCCTCCCGCTCTATCTCCCTTCCCACCCCACCCCCTTTCTCTGTCACCCCATCCCCGCTCTCATGCCCTCTCTTCCACCCCATCTCCTCTCCCCATCCATCCCCTCTCTCACTCACCCCTCTCACACCACATCCCCTTTTCCACCCCCCCCCCCCCCCCAACGCCTCCCCAGCCACCCAGATCATTTCATGCTCATTTGAAAGAGTAAATCATTCTCATTACCCATAAACACTTGCTGTGTGCATTCCTATGCAGTCCATTGTCAAACATCCGCCGGACCTACCTTATCATCATCATCATGCAGTGAGGACCTGGGTATTGCCAGTGGGCTGTTGTCGTCACAGTACTTCACTGCTTCGTCCAGCTACAGTGACCAGTACGTTGGTGCCACGTATACGTATCAGCCGGGAGATGCACGTGCTGGCAAGATGAGGGGCTACGGTGGTTGGGCGCCCGTAACCAACAGCTTGGAGGAATACCTGCAGGTGAGCTAAGCACATGTTTGCAGCCACCTTTGTGTATACTCTATACCATGTACGGTAAAGTCCGCTGCAAACGCCCACCCCATTTTTGCAAGATCTGCTGGCCTATACGCACTGACCCCATGCACTTTCACCCCTACTGTACGATAGTGCATCTCACACCGTAGCGTGAGGAGCGCTTTGCTACGGTAAACTATGTCCATTTTCCGGGTTTCAAAATATTTTTGGGCACTAGTTACGAGCTAGCTCCTAGTGATTTTATGAGGTTGGTTGTGTTATTTCGCAAATCCAAACGGGAGTTACTTCGGAATAACAAGGTAGCAAAGAACAGGCTATTGCAGGAACCAAACACACTTCTGACAGTGTTTCCAGCCATCATTTCCAAATCACGCAATGCGCAAAGGCAAGGGTTTTTCTCGACCACGTCAGAGTTTTCAACAAGTTAGCAGCGACTTTATAGGTACAGGTGTACTAGTAGCTTCTGTGACATCCAGCCTGTTCAACTTGTAACTGCAATACTGCGACCTGTCAAGTCGTTGAATGACGCTTCGTCAGAACAATCACCGTTCCATTCTGAAAGCGCGACATCGTGGCACTGCAGAAATTTCATGATTTGAAAACCAGATGGATTCTACGGCATTACTTCATGGAGAACGAACTAATAGCAGAGACGACTCATTCATCGTATGAAAGGAAATCTCGACCGAAGTTATTTTCTTTGCAGCAAGATAATGACAATCGCTTTTGCAGAGACTCTTGGTAAGACATAGGCAGTTTGTAGGCATTATAGTCGTTCTCGTACGCATTCGACCTTCATGCCAGTTTTCTACAACTATATTGACCTGAAAAAGGCGGAAATAGTATGGACCCCCTGGGGTGGGCGTTTGCAGCGAAGTGGGCGTTTGCAGCAAAGTGGGCGTTTGCAGCAAAGTGGGCGTTTGCAGCAAAGTGGGCGTTTGCAGCAAAGTGGGCGTTTGCAGCAAAGTGGGCGTTTGCAGCCGACTTTACGGTAATAGGCATGTAGAGTGAAATCTTGTGGAAAGCTCGGAGCTTCTTCTTTGATCTACATTATTATTTCGATTTTTGCAACAGGACTAAAAACAATGGAGTTGCGACAGTTTTACGGTACGCACAATACATCAGACTTTAATGACTGATGCACCGCATTGATGCATTGATGTACAGTGTGGATGTCTGTATTTCGTGACAAAAAACCTGGTTGCGCGTATACTCTCCAGTGTGGCTTATACTCTAGTATGGCTAATTATGCGGAAAATACATGGTATATACTATTTATCTACTGAACTGAGATGTATCCGCCATCAATTTAACTTTTATGTATTTTTCTCTCTGGATGTCTATTATTGATTTTGCAATCATAGATAGACTATGGCACTGAGGTCTCCATCACGTCCATGGCCATACACGGCTTCAAGTCCATGCACGAAAGCAAGGGACGATACGTCACGTCGTTCAATATCTATATCGGCACCGGCAACGGAGTATTTACAAGTGTGGCACCATCCTTCAACCTGGTGCGTACAATAGTGTGGCCTCCCTCAGACCAGATACTGTAGAAGGGTTAATTTTAGCGGGTAAAAACTTTAGCCCTTTTTGAATCTGGACTAATGCGTAATGAAATATTGTAATGATCCGAGTTTCGGAGTTTAAAAAAGGATGATTACACTGTACTGGATACGCAAAGTTTCGATTGGCGCAGCGAAACTTTAGCGAAACTTTAGCGAAAACACTCCTTTCTCTAAAATCGCTAAATATCACCGATGCTAAATTAGCCATTTTACAGTACCGTGTAACTTGTAGTTTTAGGGAATCACAAATTCCGTGTCAGGGACCTGCCAGGTTTCAGGTGTACTGTAGAATTAGGTGACCAGCATTCCCTTTACGTGCAGCGCATACTCTGGTGCCTTTTAGGTGTAATCAAAATTTAAGTGCCTGTCAGTTTTGTGCCCTATTACCGCACTTTCCGACTGTTTATCGTCTTGTTACAGTCGTGGCCTGATAGTTGCTGCATAACTCATTCTCATGTGTTTCTTCTCTTTTTTACATCTATTACTGGCTCAGTATCCGAGTTAAAGTTCTCTTGACACAATCTTTATTGGGAAAATTGAAAATAATAGAGATGTGAAAAACAAAAATTAATAGATGGAGCCGCAATGCAATACAATGTCCAAAAACTCAAGAATTGTATGTCTGTGAAGTACCATTCCACTTAGGCAGTTCTCAGCCGGCACAGAGTCGTGAAGTTCATCCTGTTACGGTGGTACGATCATCTCGAACCACGCAAACAGGTGACTGCCCATCGCATAAGGCGGAATGACAGCCTGCAGCGGAGGTCACCCATGACGGCCGATAGGTGAAGGTCGACGTTCTTTTCCGCAATCGTGCATGCTAGTGCCTTCAGGGCCATTGAACAGACTCTGCCAATCATGCCCGAGGTAGAGAAAATTAAAGGAGTAAATGTACCTCTGTCCACTGCTGTCACCCGCTCTCCGTACTGGCGCTTCTTCGTCTTTTCATGAGTTAGGAGCTGGCTGATGACTTCCCGACACGGTCGCAAGCTTGCTTCTGGGTGTGTCACCCGGATATCAAAAAAGGCACCCTGCTGCCTCGTCCAGAAGCCACCAGCCCAGATCTCTAGGCGCGCCCCTGCCGAGCGGTTGGCTGTCCTGCCTTGGAGCCGCTCACCATCATATGACAGTAGACGCGGTTCTACCTCAACATCCCGGACCGCCTCACGCATCACGTCAGCCAACAAGTCCCGGATCTCGTTGTGGCGCGCCATGGGGTAGCCTCCTGCCGGACACATCATTGCATGGTCGATGGTCATTGCAGCACCACATACCCAAGTCAACGGCAGACCATCAGGCTGCAGGCCGTAGCGGATACAGAATGCATCTCGGAAATCGGATTATTGAGTACCATCTGCATTTAGGATGATGGTTCTGCCGTTAACCAAGACAACACACCCTTTTCCGCGGCTGTCTCCACTAATAGCACCTGCGTTGCTGTCAGGTCCGGGCGTATTTCGCTAACTAGATCCGTGCTTCGGGTAGCTCTCTTCCTCCGAATGCGCCCTGCCTCCTGCTGACTGAGGGCTATTGCCTCATTCGGTTGGTCTATTAGGTCAATATCGTTGGTGCTTGTTGGAAGTGCTGCTGGTCTGATGCAGGAAGCCACAGGAGCCACAATCTGTCTGGAGGCAGAAATCTCTTGTTCGGCCTCCACCCAGGGCACAGGGATCGCCATGCCACCAAACCGCGCTGGTAGCGATAGCAGCTTTCTTAGTGCCGGCTCGTCCGAACAGGAATGGTCGCTGAGCGCTGGCCGCAGCTTGGTCGTAATGGCTGCATCCAGACGGGCCAGAAGATTCTCAGGGCAAGACAGGATGCGCAAGTGGTACCACCACTTGGACAAGAGGCCCTTCACAAACACCTCGTACGCTGCATGTGGCTGAGTGGCGGCCACCTTCGCCAGGCGCTCAATTTGCAGCGTCCACTTGTCGATTAACTCTGTGATGTACTCCTCGCAGAAGATCGATGAACCGAGTGACCCGCCAAGATACCGAGCACCCTCAGTCACAACACGAATGCCGCGTGTCCCTGAAAAGCTGGAGTGCCAGGGCCGAATGCTGCTCCTTGACAATTAGTGTTGTCTTGCTCGGCGTTAGGGTAGTATCCATAGCCAGGGCCATGCTCCAGAACCCCACCTAAGTTTTCTACTACCGAAATTACCGAAATATTATTTACACAGATAATAACATGTTATGCAGTAAATGAGTGCTGCTATCCTCCAGTGGTACCCTGGGTACGTAGATATTGCTTGTGCAGGCGTGATGTTGTCCAGGGTGGCAAAACCAATGACTGGAGCATTACATACAGCGCATTTTCAGTTCCGGGACACACAGGACCACTGGTGTGGAAAACTTGGCAGAGTTTAATTTCACCTGCTGCATTTCGATCATCCATCGATACTTTTTTAGGGTTCACTGTAAAAAGGCGATGATGCCTGTTGGGAATTCCGTAATAAGATAAGAATAAAATTAAAAAAACAAATAATATTTTGCGCCTAATCTGCTTCACGTAGTACAGTCAGACCTCGCTTAGCCGCACACATCCGTTTTCCACAAAAATATCCGGATAGGCGAGGGAAACGGATAATCGAACACACATACTGTGTGTATGCATGGCATCTGCTGTAAATCGGTAACCAACGATTTTCTTCCGGATGGTGAGGGATCCGGATAAAAGAGGACCGGATAAAAGAGGACCGGATATGCGAGGTCTGACTGTATGCCAAAGTTGACAATCTATACCCTCACGGTAGCTCTTGGACAATGAGGACACTTTCAAAATACCGTATTCATGTATTCTCTATTGTAAGCACAGGTCTCCGTTACTAGCACAGTCTCTAATACTAGCACACTGTGAGCACCTTTCGAAACGTTATAAGCACGGTCTCCAGTATAAGCGTGGGGTAGACATGTGTTAAAAATAATGTAAGCTCAGCGTGTATTATAGAGAATAATTATAGTTCAATATACAGTAGCTTGGTTGTGTCTGCAATGTGATTAATGTTTTGCATATTTGTTTTGGTGAATTTAGACGTCTTTCAGCGGCAACACGGACAGTTCGAGTGCACACAAACACACCTTCAGCCCGCCACTTAAAGCTACCGTCATTCGGTTGTCCAACTTCACAACAGCAACAAGTGTTTTGCCGGGATTGAAGATAGGCTTTCGAGGATGCAACCCTCCGCCCGTGTTTGCAGGTATGCAGCGATTTGCTACCTTTGTTGTGTGTGTGTGTGTGTGTGTGTGTGTGTGTGTGTGTGTGTGTGTGTGTGTGTTTGTGTTTGTTTGTGTGTATGTGCGTGCATGTGTGTGGGTGAGTGTATGTACATGTACATGTGTGTATATGTGTATGTGTGTGTGTGTGTGTGTGTGTGTGTGTGTGTGTGTGTGTGTGTGTGTGTGTGTGTGTGTGTGTATGTGTGTATGTGTGTATGTGTGTATGTGTGTATGTGTGTATGCATGCAATTGTTTGTGTGATCAGAAACGGGGTAATTGGGTCGTCCAAAATTCAAACACTTCAAAGTAAAAAGAACAAAATGTTACGAGCTATGACAAACTGTCCACCAACGTAACCAGATCTTATACAGTCAGCGAGTGCGACAAAATGGCGCAGAACTGACAAGGAGTACTGAGACCGTGCTCTTCTTCGTTGCGCTTTTCTTCCCCTCTTGGACCTTTCCGAACCTGAGCCTTCCAAGTTGGAAGGTTGTTGGTTTGCGCCTTGGAGAAGTGTTGGAGCTAGGTGTCAGGTCCCCGAATGTCTCAGTACTCCTTGTCAGTTTTGTGCCATTTTGTCGCACTCGCTGACTGTATAAGATCTGGTTACGTTGGTGGACAGTTTGTCATAGCTCGTAACATTTTGTCCTTTTCCTTTCTTCATCATAACTTCAAAGTACTTTTTTTTTAAATTTTCCTCGATATTTTTCCAACTCCTTCACTACCGTAAAAGTCCGTAAATAAGTACGTATTTACTTTCGAATTTAGTGACCACACCCGTACTAACTTTCGGGCGAGTACTGACTTTCGGGCATGAACAAACTTTCGGACCTGACGTGTGTGTAGTGGAGAAGTCATTTTCATGTCGATGTACATGCTACGTGCTGCATGTGCGCACGGTACCGGTACTTATTTCGGGCAGTATGTTTATCGGGCTTGACTTGACTTCAACAGACAGAGCCAAAAGAATGAAGGGGGTATTTCTTTCGGGCAGGTACTTATTTACGGACTTTTACGGTAATGGATACTTCAAAGTACCTGTACTTGTCTTTAATACATAGGGTTGCTGCTGTGTTCTTTCACCTCTTCGCTTTGTTTGCCAACGTATGTGCCTGTTCATGCCTGCACATCCAATGTACGTGAACCCGTGGGATACGCATTGCAGACTTGCAGGCATGCGACACGGCCCTGGGCGTGAGCAGCGGCGTTGTCAACAACTCTCTGATCACGGCTAGCAGCGTGTACTCGCTCAGTTACGCCGCCTACTATGCACGCCTGTACAAGTCCTTCGGGAACGGCGGCTTCTGCGCCTCAAACGGCTTCACTGCCAGTGACTACCTTCAAGTGGACCTAGGGCAGGTGAGGCTGGTGTCGGCCATAGCGTCGCAGGGAATCGAAGACTCGTTCCTGACGAGCCCCTACTACACTTCTCGCTACTCCGTCAGGTACGGTCTGGTTCCAGGCGGCGTGAACCTGACCGAGTTGAAGAAAAGCGGGCAAGCTGTGACGGTAAGTAGAACAAAATAGATGACGATATGCCGAATAGCGTGCAACTAGACTTGGGAGGGCATTGCAGAGAAGTTGCATACAAAGTTCAAAGTTGTACAGCTACCTGTGACTTGTGCTCCTGCACAGCTCATGGCCTATCGTGTATAAATTGTAATGTAGTTTGTATGCAACTGGTGTGCAATGCCCTCCCAAGTCTAGTTGCACGTTACATCTATATAAAAGAGATCCTTCCCACAAGCACGACTTGATCAGATTGATCAGATTGGGCCAACAAATACCAAATCCCACGGTCAGGTGTTACTCAAACACATACCTGTACTCACTCGATTAGAAGCCGGGGCTGCTATTTTTTCATTCTCTATTTTGACGAGGCTTCTAACTTCAAGAGGGGCTTCTATTCGAGGAGGGGTCTTTTATTATTTCAATCCGTACCACCCTATTCCAATCGAATCATTGAGACTTTCATATCAACGCAACTAGGACCCGAGTTTGTTCTCACATACTACGTTGACCTGGACATGTACCGGTAGGGAAATACGGGTTTAGCTATACACGACTCATACATTACCCACGAGCGACTCACGGAAAGGGTAATAACATACAGATACAAAATACGCAAGGAGAGAAAAATGTAACTAACTGCCCATCTTGGGGTTTGAACCTAGGAATCTGTATCAACACAAGCTCTACAAATAAATACTCTTTTACTGCGAAAAACATACTTTATATCAAAATGCAACTCCTACACCGGTATGTGCATCCATGTACTTCTGAAGTAGATACACGATATGTTTTGTACGCCCCTGCCCATACCATACATGGCACTACCTGGTCACCCCATGGTTTTCCATTACGGCATTAGCAGTCCGTGCTTCTGTTCGAGACAGGCTTGTATGTATTAACCTTTTGAGCACGTGTGACGTTCTGACACGTCATGACCACTGCCACTGTGACACGCGTGATGTTCTAGAACGTCACGAGTCAGTGCGGAACTACATCGATCCCGCGTTTGGTTGAACAAGCGGTCACGTGCTCCTGCGTACACCAGTCACCTGGTCACCGCGCCTGCAGGGTACAACTTACTAGCCTGTTTGACCTTTTTTGGGTGCAGTCCTGTCACTCGAGTTGAACTCGAGTTGAACCTTGGTGTGAAAGTTGTCGCCTGCTGGCGTGGTGACCAGGTGATTTGGGCACGCAGGAGCACGTGACCGCTTGTTCAACCATGTTCGATTGGGAATAAAGGAGGAACGCTGCATCGCAGCCTTTTCGGACCAAAACCAGTCGACTCAGCGTCCAAAAGGCTACAACACATGGGCCAATCGCGGTCATCCGTGCTTTTATAAGAACGAAACGGCGCTTTTAGTGACATTTTGCATACAAATCCCCATCTAGTAGGGCGCAGTCACCCAGTTTCGGTGGAAGTGCGCGAGTTCGATTGGGAATAAAGGAGGAAGGGAGCGTCTCAGCTTCCTCGGACCAAGACCATTCGACTCAGCACCCCGAAGACTACAACTGGTGAAAATTTGATTTTAGCCTTAACTTCTCCTTTAACGCAATGAATAGGGCGAGCTACGCACTCAGTACAAGCACCATCAGAAATGTTGTTGTCATGTATAATTATGATAAAAATGGAGAAGGACAAAATGTTACAAGTTATGACTAACTGTCCACCAACGTAACCAGATCTTATACAGTCAGCCAGTGCGACATAACCTCGTAACATTTTGTCCTTCTCCTTTTTTGCCATAATTTAATTGGCTCGCCATCCGAGTTCAACAATCATGATGTATAATTATTCCTTTAACGTTTTCGAGGCCATCTCGTCAGAAGAATTTCCTGGCAAACCAAAATCTATCCGATAAATCAATATAAATACGCACAATGCAAGTGGTAACTTAGACATTTTTTCTCTTTTTTTGGTTATTTATTCACAGCATGTGTTCAGTGGCAACACCGACAAAAACACGGTTGTCAAGCAGTACTTTGCCGCGCCAATACGGGCACGCTTCATCCGAATGTTCGACTTCAGCCCGCGCAGCACGCACAGCGACCCGTGCATGCGTATCGAGATCTACGGCTGCATGGCGCCGAAACTGACCACGCCGACACCGTCGCCGAGCACAGCGGCCAGCACCGCTACTGAGCCTGGCGCTGATATCACCACGGTGACGAAGACGATGACTGGGACAGTCCCGCCGATGGGCACGGATGCGACCAAAGCTACCGCTCCAGCCGTGCATCAAGTTAGTGTTGCAACCGATGCTCAAGTTGGCACAGGTAAGCTGTTGAGAATATGAAGAAATAGAAGTAGGTGACAAATAGCCTCTGCTTGTTATCAATGCAGCCATTCATGCCAGTGTTTTGTGACCACTACTAGTACGTGATAGCTGCGTAACCGTTGTTTTTGGTTGCGTTTGTTTGGTGTCGTTTCAAGGCTATTCCAAAGTGATGCCAGTAGTTTAGATCCTGGAATGTTTGTTTGGTGCACGTAGCATCGATTGTTTTACACAATGTCACCAACGGATGGGACAGAAGCGGGGTTCATGTATAAATCCAACTCGTTCTAATCATCGGAGGGAGAACCTGTACTGCATGTGTGGTGGTCTGGATGCATGCTTGGCTTCCCGTCAATGCTCTGTGCTCCTCTGCTGTTTATGTGTGTTCAGATAGCGGAGGGAACCCACTCACTTCTGCATCGTCCACTGTCTCCACGTCAACGGAAGAGGGCACAGAGGACAGCAGCAGCATTGTAGCACTCGGTGCTGGAATAGGCAAGTATTCAGATGTGATTGAATAAGCAATATGGAGACGAGAGCTTTATTAGTGAGATCAAAAGTACTAACGAAGCGGACATTAGAACGTTGATATTGGAAAACTTACGATTATAAATGAAGAAAATTCCTAACTATTTTTCTTCATTTAAAATCATACTTTCGTTATTTCACTGTTCCAATGTCCGCTTCTTTAACTTTACTTTACTTTTGATTACATTGATGTGATCTTTCTGGCATGAAACTTTCTAGCGTAGCTTTATTATTATACTGCTGGGAAAGCCCAGATCCTCTGGGGCTGATGTATTACCTGATGACGAGATAATTGTGCGTTTTGTTTTCCAAATTCCGCACACTGTGGGTGAGGTTTCGGTACAGAGAAGCAGTTCTCTATCGGTACAGAGAAGCATTTCTCTATTGGTTTATGTGTGTTAGTGTTTGTTCGGTGTATTGAAATTTTAGGTATGAAACAGACGCACCAAAAGTACCGAAAATAAAAGTACACCGAAAATTTCTGAAATTACAGTACTTCTAAGATGCTCTATCTCCTGACAGTCGATTGTCTTGACCTTCTCAAAAGGAAGTTGGTAAACAAAACAGCGTTTTGTTTACTTAGCGTTTTGTTTACCACAGCGTTTTGTTTACCAAACTCCCACGTGTGAGAGGATAGAGGTCAAGACGTACCCATACATACTTCCAAAATGCTCAATCTCCGGCCAGTCTATGATTTTCACCTTCTCGAAAGGAAGTTGGCTGCCCTCTACACTGGTGCTCGCGCATTTCCGCCGACTTAACTTCCTGCCATCCAGAGCACACAAGAAGTCCATCGAACCTTGGACTTGGTAAACCTTGCATGAAAGTATCACTCCCTGCTCAACACACAGTGTTTCGGGAAATTCACCAACCATCGGCTATAAAAGTATCGCCTAATCTGACAGTCAGAGAAATAAGTTACACTTTGCTTCATCGCTTGCAAGGCTGTGGGGAAAACCCCAGATGTGCAGGCAGCGCACTGGTGGTGTAATGCTCGCTGTTTGCAGATTACTATATCACATGATTCTACTTGTTGCTATGGTGTGTTTGTTGCTATGCTGTCCTTGTTTACTATGCCCAGCCCTTGTTGCTATGCTGTGTTTGTTGCTATGCCCTGCCCTTGTTGCTATACTCTATACAGACAGAAAATTTAGTCGGTCAAAAATTTCGTCCAACTCCAAAGAAAGGGAGTTCGTCCGTTTGAAAATTAGTCCATGCACCATAAGATTAAAAGCTGGACAGGGACAAATCGACATTAGTCTGGCATCATTAATTTAGTCCAAAAGCTCCTTGGACGAAAACGACGAAATAAAATTCCAGACGAATGTTTCTGCTTATACAGTACTAGCAGCACCCGGCCAGCGTTGCCTGGCCGAACGTGGCATGCGGGTGAAGCAAGTACATGAACAGCACACGTGCTCAGCACGTGGTGGTGGCTACACGATTCGCACGCTTCGCGTGCTCAGTGCTTCTGTGGCTGCTTCCGCTAGCTACACGATTTGCACGCTTCGCGTGCTCAGTGCTTCTGCGGCCGCTAGCTACACTGTTCGCACGCTTCGCGTGCTCAGGGCAGCGCTGCTCCGCAGCGCTTCTGCGTAACACACAGACAAACACACGTCACAGGTGCCTCTTCTTTATAGTATATATTGTGTGTTCCAACATGCCATTCTATTGTTTAGGCGCCGGTGTAGCTTGCATCCTGATCATCATGTTCGTAGTCCTGTTCATAAAATACGGACGGCGTGGCAGGAAGGACATTCCCGATGGTGGCAGGGGGTCTTCCAAGTAAGTCAGATTGTGGGCTGTTTGTTGAAGCATGCGATATCCTCAGGTCTGAATCGTTTGGTATTGTGCCGACAAGTCCAATCCTGGTACAGTGAAACCTGTCAAGGCAACCGCTCGGATAAGGCGACCACCTGTCCTAGAAGACCACTGCAACCAGGACCAAGAGATGCTATTTCCAGTCTATTAACCCTGGATAAAGGTGACCGACAGAGACCACATTTTGAAGGTCCTTTTGAGCGGTCGTCTTAGACAGGTTTGACTGTATCATGATTTGGCTGATAGTTCCGGACAGAACTGTGCAACCGCCCCAGAGCTGTGAACACCGCACCGTGCATGCACAGGCATAGAGTGCTGACCTCTTTGCCGGCCTGGATTGCATTGCAGGCAGCTGTTCTGTTAGAGCATGTGAGACCAGACCCTTACAGCATCCAAACAGACGCTCCAGTTTAGCCAAAACTGAGTAGCTGATACATGCACACATGCATTATGGTTTCCAGTTGTACCGGCTGAATTTCGCCCCTCCCCCTTTTTCCACCCATGAGTTCGTATATTTCTCAAACGTGGTCACACTATCTATGTTATTGCTGTCATTTGACAATGTACAGAGACGGACTTAGCACCAGTGATTCGTCCAAGGCCAATCTCATGCATTACAGGTTAGTGTGTACTTCCTAACATGACACCGCTAGCCCTTACACCTACAAAACCCCAACATTCACACACACATACACACACACAGCCTTCCACATAGCGCTACAAGACCCACCAACACCTCTCCGGGCTTATATATCGGCACGGCAAGTACAGTCATACCTCGCATAACCGCACATATCCGTTTTCCACAAAAAATATCCGGATAGACGAGGGAACCGGATAATCGAACACACATACGGTATGTATGCACTGCATATGCTGTAAATCGGTAACCAACGATTTTCTTCCGGATGGCGAGGGATCCGGATAAAAGAGGACCGGATAAGCGAGGTCTGACAGTACCATCCTCATGTTGCCTGATGATTGCGTAAGCATGAAACTCAGAGCAGCGATTAACTAGCCTTGCTTGGGGGAATGCTTGCCCTTGTTGTTCTGGGTAAGTGTGGTATACTGGTAATTATTTCGCAAAAGCTTGCATGACACTTCTTGCGTTGTAAATAATGCGTATCAGTATTTGCCGCCTTGCGGTGCTTTCCCCTTGACGAGATGTGCACACTTCAACTTCAAGTTTCCATTGCTAAGGTGTAGGTTAGTGCAGGCCCGTAGCAGCCCCATTTTGGTTGGTCCGGCAAGATCCGACCTCGATGCCCCCCCCCCCCCCCCCCCCCCGAGCCCACACTCCTAGTAGTCCTACCGTGACATATGCCGTTACATGTACAGGTACAAAATGCACATGATTGTACGTGCATGTACATGCATGTAATCGTGACCATGCAGAGTGACATAGGGCGAGAAAAGGAAGAAGGATGTTCTGCATGAGTCAGGAAAAAGGGCATCAGCATGTTGTGTCCGTCCAAACAGAACTTGTTGAAAAACAAACAAACAAACAAACATGGTATTCGCAACAACATGTACATGATATGTACTACTAGAGTTCAAAGTATATCCTCTTGCTATTACCATGTACTACATCTACTTATTGCACATATTATGGGTGGACATCCTGAGCTGCTTACATGTGTGAGCTCCTTTTTTCTCTTTTTTTTTGGCCGAATATTGGTCCGGCAGCTGCCGGACCTGCCGGACCGCCTGCTACGGCCCTGTAGTGTGTACTTCATCAGTGCCTCTCTCTTTCTTTCTCTCTCTCTTTCTCTATTTCCACTTTCTCTCTGTCTTTTCTGTCTGTGTGTGTACACGTATGTCTGTGTGTGCCCTGTGCTCTGTACGCCGACTCCAGTTCATCAACTGAGACACACATGGAACCGAGTGCAAGGTAATGCGAATCAGAATGTTGTGGCTGACTGTTCTTGCCCTTCTACCTGTCTCATATTCGCCTCATCAGAGATCATACTTTGCATGCAGTATTTCAGGTTTTCAAGCCTGGAGTACCGCATGCAAGACATAAAAGGGCTGTTCATTTTGGCCATTTGCCATATAGCTGAAGACATGTTGACCTATACCGTTAGACCTCCTGTGAATAACGGACAGCTGCATGTTAATCACAGAATGCTCTTCCAGCATGCACGAAGTTGATAGAGCTCGATCCACGGCACTCAGTGTGGTGTGTATGCCTTACCTGCCAACCATACCGATTTGGCCGGGAACGTACCGATATCGAGGGTGGTGATAGGCAACCACAAGTGCATTTGTCTCATGTCTCACAGCTACATTTGTGTACATTTTCATACCTAGGTATGTCATTGTCCCGATCTCAAGTTTGCAAAGGTTGGCAGTATATTTATGGTATGCGTGTGTGTTTGTGTTCCTCTGTTCTGCTAGGTCATCTCTGCCTACTGGTAGAGTCAGTGAGTCAGTCATCTACCACGCACCCAGGTGTGTACGCTTAGCAGGGCCTTGAAGAATGGGCTCTCCCAGTCGGGGAAGGGTGGGGGGGGGGGGCACTACTCGTACAAAACAATGCCGGGGGCGTCACACGCGGTACGTCCAGTACGACCATGGTCGTACCACATTTCGTCCGCCCAGAGCACCGGTAGAGCGCTAAAACGTGCCCTGGTGGCCGAAAAATCCGATCCCCCCCCCCCCCCCCCGAACCCCGGACCCGGCCGTAGCACTCCCCACTGCCCTGTACCGCACCTGAATGCCATACCAACATGCAACTCGATGGGACAACTCACTAGATACTCAACTTGGCTATACTGTAAATCTACTAATTTTCGGCTCATTCAAATTTCGGCCTTCCAGGGCTAAAACACATTTCGGCTGTAACACATTTTCAGCCTGTGCTGCTGCTGCCTGTATACACTGGCACACTGAAACTTGCAAAACAAAACTTCGGCTGCAACAAATTTTCGGTCAAATACGATCAGGCCCGAAAATAGCCGAAAATAGATATGCACCGAATATTTTGTTGACTAACAGTAGTCTGAGAGTGGATGCGATCAGATGCAGCGGTCGTCCGTGATTTTCTTACTTCTCACGACATCACCTTCCAGCTGCTTTACAAAGTTCGGGATAAGGTTGGACTTGGTGCTAGAGAGTCCTTTGTGACTGCGTGTGTACTGTAAAACCGGGAATTTTCGGTGGTGTGATATTTTCGGTATTTCCTAAAGTCAACGGTTCGGTAGCGCAAAAATTTCGGTAAACCAGTTTTTCCAGATCCAAAAATGCATTTTCCACTCTGTGTGGCATGGCATTGTTGATTTTAGGTGGCGTTTTATTTTTAGATAAAAAGGGGGGGGGGTTGTCAACTGACAACCGCTCTACTGTACCACAATCATTGTGTGTACAAACGTTTTATTTTAGGTAAAAATGACCTGTACCGAAGTTACCCAAAATACATCTCCACCGAAATTTTCCGGTTTTACAGTAGATGGTGCTTGTACCGTGAAAATGTCGAATAGGCCAAAGTGTCGTCTTGGCCTACCGACGAACTTCTCCTCAACGCGATATCGCCACGCCACACAACGAAAGACTAGGTTGTTTCTCGTTACAGAGAGAGCTTTTCTGTTATTATTCTCACAAAACGACGAGACAACTGACACCGAGACAAGACAAGACAAGGGAGTATATTACGGAGACGTGGAAAAAGTGGGGCGGTGGAGGCGAAATAGGTGCTCATGTATGATATAACTGGTCCCGAAAGGGACGGGAGACAAAGACGGCAGACGATCAAATACGACGGAGACAAGATGGCAGCCGGACGAATACAACGGAGACAAGACGAGAAAATGCGTATACAACGGGGACAAGACGAGAAAGAGTGCATACGGAGGGGACAGAAGACGGTGCAGCCGCAAGTACCAAGCATTCCAAGACAGCGCAGCAGCGTGTACCACGGGTCAGCAGCATGTACGACAAAGAGACACAAACGCAGCAGCAGGCACAACAAAGAGACACAAACGCAGCGGCATGTACGACAAAGAGCTACACGTGCAGCCGCATGTACAACGAAGAGCTTGGCAAATTTCTTCTCGTGTACAATGCTGGAAAGGATTGCCTTGTGTCTTGCTGACATTGGCTGACAATAGCTTCTTCTTGTTTTTCTTTACCTGAGTAGGCGTGGGGCCTGGTCGTTCGTAGTAAGTCATCATGGCGGATTTGCGAGGATTAAGCTGTAGCTGTGTTGCTAAAGCATGAGAAACGATCACGTCAATACCGGCTGGTACTGAGACGAACTCAGGGTCGTGGATCGATGGTGAGCTTGAGAGTTGGGCGCCAAATGTTGTCTTGACATACCAACGAACTTCTCCTCGACGCTCTACCGACTGGGATGTTGCGAAAGAAGGATCCACGAGCGGGATTCGAACCCAGCACCCCTGTCTTTCCGGGACAGTGCCCCACCGATTAGGCTACCGGGGATCACACACACCTGGAGTCCTTCTTGCTACACTGCTCCCCGCCCCAACAAGCTGTATCCTCACGCCGTACCTACTCGCGGGGGGTACGATGGGTCGTGGATTCGAGCCATTGCCAGGAGCCAATATTGCAAAAGAAGGATCCACGAGCGGGATTTGAACCCAGCACCCCTGTCTTTCTGGTACAGTGCCCTACCGATTAGGCTACCGAGGGATCATACATACTCGTGGGTCCTTCTTGCTACACTGCCAATGTTGCAACGGCGTGAGGACACAGCCTGCTGGGGCGGGGAGCAGTGTAGCAAGAAGGACCCATGAGTGTGTGTGTGCTCCCCGGTACCCTAATCGGTAGGGCACTGTCCCGGAAAGACATGCAGGGGTGCTGTGTTCGAATCCCGCTCGTGGATCCTTCTTTTGCAACAAAAGGTCTCGAATTTGACTGCTGTGCCTTATTCCCAGTCAAGAGAACCGGGTGGATGGTTAGGAATGGTTTTTTGCTGCTTGATGCTGACTACAGGAAAAGAAAAGGCGACCTTGAGCTTTCTGTCTGTGTACGAATCACGTCTGCAACTTTTAGTGCAATGTACTCCTTGCCACCAAATGCGCCGCCATGTACTAGGCTGTGAGGATTGGATGGTGTACATAATAGAGAGGTTCTGCTATAAGTGAAACGACTACGTAGAGAAATCACACAGAGAGCAGGTGGCTGCGTTAGAGTCTACGACTTTGCATGTTTTGGGTCCAGATTTCTACGCGGAGGTGAGGTTCTCTATGTTGTGGCACACGCCAAGAAAATGCAAACGGATCTGCTGGGTATCATTCGAGTGCAGGCAGAAAACTGCCAAATATGGAAGGGGAAATTCCCAGTACACATTCCACGTCATTTCTCTACGTGAAACGTAGAGCAGAACAGGATTTCTTTACGTTACGGGAACGCGAAGAGAGTTTGCGTGGTTCTTTGCGTCGCGTTCCCGAAACGTAGAGCAGAACCTCACTAATATGCAAGTCTAGTACCTAGAAAGCTACTCTCAACCTGCTGCCGTGCTGCCCAAGAGATTGTGAATGGCAGCTATGCGTAATCTTACTGCTGTTTAGTTTTCACGGGGCAACGGTCCACTTCAGGCATGTACATTATGATACCATCCCCTGCGTAATAGGTCACGAACTGTGTACATTATGATACCATCCCCTGCGTAATACTAATAGGTCACGAACTGTGTACAGTCATACCACAGTAAAACCTGTGAAGGGGACCACTCGGAAAAGGCGACCACCTGTCCTAGAAGACCACTGAAACCAGGATCAATGGATGCTATTTCCAGTCAAATAACCCTGGATAAGGAGACCACCTGGTTACAGAGACCACAATTTGAAGATCCCTTGAGCGGTCGTCTTAGACAATGTTTCACTGTACCTACTAATAGTGTGTACTACAGCTGGTTGTATCTACCAACTATGGGATAAGTTGCCCAGCAGAAAGGCTGCAGCTATGTTTAATAATTTATACCTAGGTGCCATTGTCTCCTTCCCCCTGCATGCCTGGTTTCTGCCAAAGATCAGGCTTGAGCAATGATCATACTACTGTTTAAATTAGTGTTTAAACCGAACACGGATTCTTCGAACGAATAATCTATCGAATAATTTCGCCCTCCATCGAACGAATATTCTATATTCTATCATACGCATGATGGAATTTTTCAACACTTTTTCAGTACTTTTTAAGTAGTTTTTTTGAAATTTTTCGCTGATTTATAATAATATCGGATTTTTTATTGTGGAGGTGCATAACCGGTTAACCGGTACAGCACATGCACGTACATGTACAATCATGTACATGTAGATCTACCAGTATGTGCACTGGCAAGTACAGGGTGCAGACATGACAGAAGAGCACAGTATGGAGAAAAAAGTTCAAAAAACGTTCACGGTTCGCGTGAGACTCGGCTAGAAGCCGAGTTTTCCGCATCCGCAGGAAAGCCACCACCCTCTTGGATCAAGGCGCAGATGCAGCTCCTAAAGCGGTAGGAGGTGAGTAGATCAGACCCACCACAAAGTGGTCAAAGACCGAAAATCACATTCACTACATCTGTCATGGCCGCGCTTGGCGGGTTTGTGACTTGGCTTAGATCAGTCTAGTGGCTACCCAGGTAGACGACCAATATAGTCGCCATCCAAGTTGCTAGCTCACATAGAACGACAGGTTTCTAATTCCACTTGAACAGTGTTTGTTTGAACCATTGCAGTACTAGATCGAAAGATCAAGTGTGTAGAGTCAAAAGACCAAAGCAGGAGAGAGTCGGAGTGACTCTCCCAGAATCGAGAGGAGTAGTGAGCTCCCCGAGGATCGAGGATGAATGTTAGCAAAACAGCTCCTTATATATGCTACATTATGTGATCAAAAGTATACAGTGGCAAGAATGCGTAAGGATTATTTCTACTTGTATATTACAAACAGTGGTGCAATATGTGCAATCAGCCAAACTAGAATATAGTACAAAGAATGAGCAATCAATACGGGGAGCTCGCTCACCCACATTACATGAAAGGACTCCGAGGCTCTTCGTGCAACGGGGCCTGGAGTATGCTGTCGGAAGTTGCTGCAGCTAGAGCACGCCGCCTCCGTACGCTGCCTTGGTCGTTGGTCACCCTTCATCTCCTGCCCGTAGGCTCTTCCCTCTCATTACCCCGTAGGGTGCTTCACGGTCAAGCCGTGACCTCTCCCAAAAAAGGGATAACGGAGTCCGCAGTGCGCGAAGCACTTGCAGGACCCTTTACGTCGTACGACGCGAGAAGAGGTGCCATGCTTGCTCGACTAACAAAGGTATCAGCTCCCTTGCAGGACTAAGCAGGGTCCCCTCAAGCTCAACAGTGTAGTGAGTACAATGCTGACGACTTGTACTGAAGGTGTAGCCGCCGTACGACAACACTTGTGACTCGAGGCCACGAGTTGTAAGCCATGATTGCTCAACTAACGAAAGTGCCAAATCCTTCGTAGGACTAATCATGGTTCTTACAGAACTCTAGAATATTTCGGAGCCCAGCTTTTGGCTGCTGAACTCAATGCATGGTCGCTTTCACGACGAGTCTGATCCGGGTCATGACACATCCATGTTTCCCTTGTATGGAAAGAAGAGAAGTAATACTAGATACCGGTAGGAGATTAAAACTTGGAGGAGAGGAGATTGAGAAGAAATACTACGAGCAGATCTACGCAATGCAAATATCAGCAGGGCCAGGGTCAGCATTGAGCATAGATCGCAATTTTTTTTTTTTTTTTCGATTTCTGACAATTCCTACGACTATTCGATTATTCGTTCACCCCACGAATATTCTAAATTATTCGATTATTCGATTATTCGTTTCAACACTAGTTTAAATACATCCGGTATCTTGGCTGTGTTCTTGCTTCTTGCAGGGAGACAGGACCAGAGACGAGAAAGTCCGCTGTCAGTGTCCTGTACAAACAGCCTGTCCAGTAAGGAACTCTCCGTGAACTAATTGATCTGTAGTTAAACGTCAGCACAATATACCACGTACATAACATGCTATTAGTTGCCGGAGCATAGTGCGCACTTTAGATGTGCTATTTCAGGCCCCTAGGCGCAGGCGCGCACTATGCTCCGCATATGAAAATGAATGTACGTACCTCGAAAAGGGACCTCCAACAGTGTCCATGGTGTGTGTGTGTGTGTGTGTGTGTGTGTGTGTGTGTGTGTGTGTGTGTGTGTGTGTGTGTGTGTGTGTGTGTGTGCGTGTGTGTGTGTGTGTGTGTCTGTGCGCGCGCGCGCGTGTGTGTGTGTGTTTACGTGCATGTGCATGTGTATGCACTCGTGCGCTTGTGTATTGCATTGCAGAAGTGAAGCAGTGCGTTACACAGACATCAAAGAAACTGGACCCAGTGCTACCGTAGCTAACGGAGACAACCAGTACGCCAGACTCAGGTTAGCTCCTCTTACGTCAATGGTACTCATCATCACTATCATTCCCATCATCATCATAATCATTACGCCATTATCACTACCATTACATCATCCTTATCATTACGTCATCAATATGCAATGGTGATGTCATCTTTATGACATGGTGACATCACAGGGATGTACACTGCACAGTGCTGCAGTACTGATGTGCCGACCCCTTCATACTGAGACATGAAACCCATCATTGGTACGTCTAGGTGGCCATGAAGTCGAGACCCTCGGTCGGCGGAGCTCCCAAAACTTCACCACCACTTCAACGATTCATGTTGTGCGTGCTTCCCCAGCTGCAGCTCATGTTTGGCATATTTTAAATGTATTTGATTGGTGACTATTGTAGTTGGAAGTTTTGTGTTGCTATAATGAGAGAAACATCCAAGAGCTGATCTGGTATTTGACCTGTTCCGTGTGATGGTCTGATGTGTGCGTGCGTGTGTGTGTGTGTGTGTCTGTGCGTGCGTGTGTGTGTGTGTGTGTGTGTGTGTGTGTGTGTGTGTGTGTGTGCGTGTGTGTGTGTGTGTGCACAGTGCGGATATGCCCGTTATTCCTTCTGCAGTGCGGACCTTGGAGAATTCCACTGGCGGGTAAGTCCTGGAATAGTTCTGGAGCAAGCACGGCTGTGACTGTGTGTAGATATTAAAGCTGTTTGGCGATGTGTGGCGTGCTGGGGTGGTCCCGCAGGAGTGGGTGGACGCCACGTTGGTCCCCATCCCAAAGAAAGGGGATTATCTCGCTGTGATAATTGGCGGGGTATCTCACTGCTGGATGTTGTGGGCAAGGTTCTGGCGAGCGTCATCCAGACTCGTCTCCAGTCCGTGGCTGCAGATTTTCTCCCAGAGTCTCAGTGTGGCTTCAGGCGTGGCCGATCTTGTACAGATATGGTTTTCAGTGTTCGGCAGTTCCTCGAGAAGACCATTGAGCACGACTGCAAAGGCTTCTTTGTATTTATAGACCTCAAGAAAGCCTATGATTCCGTGCCTCGGGATTGCCTGTGGGAAGTCTTATCCCGAGCGGGTATCCCTGCTCCCATGCTTGCCGTGATCCGTTCCTGTCACACTGACATGTCGGCGGTGGTTCGGGTAGAGAACACGACAACTGACCCTATCCGCGTCACGAATGGTCTCCGTCAGGGGTGCACCATGGCACCTGTGCTGTTTAACATCTTCATGTGGGCGGTGGTGACTGTGTGGCAGCGACGAGTCCGAGATGTACCCGGTGTTGGTTTTGAGTTCCGGCATTGTGATGGTGACAATAACCTTTACCGCAAGCCTACCAGGACGGATCCGGTTGCCATTGCCACTGAGTCACAGTTTGCAGACGACTCAGCACTTTTCGCGACGACTCGTGCAGGGGCGGAGACGGCACTTGCAGTGTTTGACACGACCGCAGCTGAGTTTGGGCTTAAAGTTAGCGCTACCAAGACACAGTTCTTGGTTGCAGGTAGGGATGTTTCGCCTGGGGACTGCGCTCCAATCGAGCTAGCTGGCACGGTCATCGAGTGTGTTTCGGAGTTCCGGTATCTGGGATCTCTCATTCATCGCGGTGGCCGGTCGACACAGGACATCACTGCTCGGATTGCGCATGCCTCTCGTGCTTGTGGCGCCTTGCAAGGAACCATCTTCAGCAATCCTGACCTTGATTTGCATATCAAGAGGTGTGTGTTTAATGCATGTGTGCTGTCGCTCCTCCTCTATGGGTCAGAGTGTTGGACACCATTGCAACACGATCTCAGACGTTTGTCAGTCTTTCATATGCGGTGCATCCGTTCCATCCTGGGTGTGTCCCGCAGAGATTGCTGGAATAATCACACGACCAACGCCCAACTGTTGAAGATGTGGGGTGACTCTGATACCATCTGCGTGAAGGTCGCACAGCGTCGCCTAGAGTGGCTGGGCCATGTTGCTCGAATGGACAGTAGCCGGATGCCGAGACAGATCCTGTTTGGCTCACTTCTCACACGTCGCCCAGCACATGGCCCTCGCAAGCGCTGGAAGGATTGCGTTGTCTCCGACTTAAGAGTTCGTGGCCTCGCCAAGGAATGGTACCCTATCGCCTGTGAGTCCCGTGCTGACTGGCAGACTATGTACGCCGAGCCTGTGGAGAATGTGCCTCAGCCTGACCCAGTGGTATGTGCGGATTGCAACCGGTCATTCTCGCGCCCTGGAGATCGTGCTCGCCACAAATGTGTGGTTGAGCGGGCAAAGCCGATTGCTGAGCAGCGAGGGGCTTGCCACTGTGGAGATTGTGGGCGTTGGTTTCGCAGCAAGGGTGGTCTAGCTGTTCACCGCTGTTCCGCACCTCAGCCTCAGCCTCCCGAGCCCCGGCAAGTCTATGTGCAGGATGCCTGCTGTGCTGCGCACTGTGCTGTGTGTGCCCGCTGCTTTCGGTCTGTGCAAGGCCGCGGTCGTCACCGGTGCTCGAGGACTGGCCCGCGCCCGACTGCCCAGCAGCGTAATTCGTTCAGCCATGTATGCGTGTGTTCTCGCCGGTTCCGTTTGCGCCACCATCTCCGGCGTCATCAGGCTGCGTGCTCCATCTTCCTCTCTGATGCCCCTCCGGGGCCCACGTGACCCCTGTGGCAGTGGCTCTACAGGGACAGGGACAGGGGTGTGTGTGTGTGTGTATGTGTGTATGTGTGTATGTGTATGTGTGTGTGTGGGGGGGGGGGGTTGTATCTGTTTGTTTGTATGTGCATATGTGTGTGTGTGTGTGTGTGTGTGTGTGTGCTTGTGTCTGCGTGCGTAGATGTGTACCTGTGTGCGTGTGTGCGTGTGTGCGTGCATGTATGGTAAAATTAATGGTATATGCATGCATGTATGCATGTGCTTACAGATACAACGATTCCGACGGATTTGACCAGTTGCCGGCCTACTCCAGCCTGCACATCTATGCCAATCCTGCTGACCGGCAACAACAGACAAGCTGTGCACAGACGGCAGCCCTGGACACCGCCACCACCGCTGCCACTACTACTGCTACTCACAATGGTACAGCAGTGCACGGTAACAGTGGTCGGAACAGCTTGGCCACGGCCGGAGAGAGCATGAACCCAGCGTACACAGTTCATGATATCGATCAGAAAACCGACGGCAGCGCTACCGCAGACGGGCATTATGATAGCACTAATCATGCACCGTTGCAGCCAGCCGTGGCGTCCAACGCAATCGGCGGCGACTCTCCTCAAGGCCGCTACAGTCACCTGAGGCACTCGGTGAACTCCAGTACCAAGGCCGGAGGCGATAAGGAGCCCGCCAACCCACAAGATGTCTACTCTCACCTTCACGAGCAGCCCAAAGAGTCCACCAATCAGTATGACTCGCCCAAGGGGGCCGCCAATGCGTACGCGTCGCCCAAGCCGACTAGCGCAGCGTGCGCCGACAACGGAGAAGGCACGTACAACACCTTGCAACGAGCGGATGGCGCGTATGATAACCTGGAGCTGAAAAAGGACAATGTCTACAGCACACTGCAGCAGCAGTCCAGTGCGGACGACACGGCTGTCACTACTTCACCGTGATGAAGATGCCCTGTGGAGTATTAATAGTCTGCAATCCATTGTTAAAGCATACGGGCCAGGAGTGTGGATACAGCCGCTCACTATGACCTCACCTTGCGCAATGCGTGGGCACCAGGTTTCCGCCTTGATTGTGATCCCACTTGCTGCCTGGTGATGGCCCTGTGCTGTGTTATGCTGCTGTGCTGGCACTGGCGTCTCAGAGATCCTGCAACTACGGCGCATTGCCGAGCATTGGCATGCCTTACCATGCGTCTCTTCCACTCACCAGGAGCCCCTGTCCATGCACACCGTAGACTGATTCTCTGGACGGGCGGCCGGGCACCACTGGACCATGATGGTGGATTTCCACAGGCTTAAAGACCTGCAGAGTATGTATTGATGCAGACTCACCCTCACCCACCCACACACGCGCATGCACCCCCCCCCCCCCCCACACACACACGTGGGCGAAAGTCAAAACAAAAAATCCTAATTCCTCAAACATACTCAAAGCCAGCGGATCACGCTGACCCGACAATAAAATAATTAATGTTACCTGACCTTATCGGTCCTGTACTTCAGAGAAGCTCCATAGACCGTGTAGAAAGTACCCCAGGCTGCATGCACCATGTCAGTGCATCCAATAATCATTATAATGTTCTACGGAGGGTCTAGCGTCCCTTCTAATCTTGCCCCTCCCCTCAGCCCGCCCCCCCCCCCCCTCCCCCAGTCAGCCAATTGAAGGTACTAGCTTGTACACATAAGCTGACTGTCGTTTCGGCCGCCATAGCGGTCACCGGTTATCAGTAATTTAGTATCCATGTTAGTACCTTGTTAGACTGCTTTCGAAAGCTTGAGAGTATGATATTCCTCTTTATAGATAGTGCCATGCAGTGTTCATAAAAGCTGATATTGAATCATTGCCGCGATAGATCAGTTTTAGAAATTTGTCTTCTTTCAACGTGTGTTGTACTTAGCATGGTTTCTTCGAGTTCATGCGCGGAGCTCTTGAGATTAAATTTCGGATCAGGGAGTAATACTGGTATTAAACTTCTCCCTGCGTTGGCCAACACAACCACTGCAGAAAGGCAATGCACTGATGTTGCAGTGACGACTCTAGCCTTGTTAGCTACAACTGCAGTCTCATCCGATAACCTCAGTTTTTTTGGTACACGTCGCATTATGTATTCCATGAATGGTTCTCAATTTTCAATGCCCATGTTCAGCTGCATGCCATCCAGGGCAGTGTGCACCCAGGGCTGCTCGGCACTAGCTGTTGACCTGGGTAGCTACTCTCGCGCTCTCGTTCATCCATTGCCATAGCTACCCAGGCACTTCATAACCTTGTGCTCTTCAACTTTCTCTTTCTCTCCCATCATCTGGAGTCCTTCGTGCAACCTTGCAATAAGAACCTTGTCGATCCGATTTCTCTTGTGCTGTGCGAGCGAGACCTAGCACTGTAACAGAGTGATACAGTCTGTGCTAAACCTTAACCAGATGTTATACTGTTCACAACAGTAGACGGTGATGTGGTGTGCTTGCATCATTTTTTGGTGCTCTCCATGCAGTGTGCGGGCGGCTGGTGAAATTTGAATGTTCATTTTGTTCAATGCCAAGGGATTATTAATTAAAAATAAGGGATTATTATTTTCATTAATTGTGCCCATGCTGAAAAATATGATATGCAAGCGGACTGAGTGCATGGTGGTATGGCCCTGCCGCCGCCGCCCCATGTGATCATAGATACATCTGCACACACAGTACAACCTGTCAAGGTGACCACTCGGATAAGGCAACCACCTGTCCCAGAAGACCACTGAAACCAGGATCAAGGGATGCTATTTCCAGTCAAATGACCCTGGGTAAGGAGACCGCCTGATAATAGAGACCACGTTTTAAAGGTCCCTTGAGCGGACGTCTTAGACAGGTTTGACTGTAGTAAACTGGCCAACGTGTGCACGCACACATTGTGCCTGCCTTGCATGCCACCACTTGCACTATGCGCTTGCGAGTTACAATGGCTACCAAGGCAGAGTGTGGACTAGTTTGGACACAGTGCTAGTGTTATTTTAAAAGGCTCCGAAACCACCGGTTTGTTAATAAACTTCTACAACAACAACAACAACAACCCTGGCCCGGTTTCGCACTACTCTCCTCCACGAACAAGAAACACACCGGATCGCAGATATTCCAATGCACTGTGACGTGTCAAGGCTACATGTATGTTCAATCATGCGGGTTGTGCACATCAAGCCTACTCCGGCAAATAATGGAGAGTGCAATAAACTGGGGTGCTGTGGTACACAGGTCTAGCTCTGCTAGACGCATGGAGCGGTCGGCTTTCTAGGAATAAAATTTAATGATCGTGTCCGTTCCCAAAAGGAACTCACGACGGTCACTAAGCCTAGAAATCCCTAACCCTAACCCTAGCGGCAGATGCAGCGCCTAACGGTGGGGATAAGGGGATAAGTCTCACAACCACTGGCACACGTGCCGAGAAACCCCAGTAGCCACATCCATGATGGTCTGATTGTACCCCTTGTGCCTGGCCACACGTTCCCAGTTGACTGCGGGGAGCAGCATGCCGACTGGAAAAACCGCTCCCAGGTGCGGCAGGACTTAAACCAGATACTAGTACCTCTCATATCTCAATCATGGTCTTAGAGCAACCCGGCCACTGCGCCTGCTTGGTATTTCTAGGAATAGGCGAAAAACTTCTATTGTTGCATATCGTGGCGTTTCGATTAGAACATACCGGTAATCAAACGAAGCCGGTATGGATCAGCCTATGATAGAGGGGTGTTGTGGTAGCCAGCTCTCAGGTTCGGGAAACTGCTGAGAAATTCTCTTAAACTAACAGGACTTGATATAGGGTAGCACAAGCCTTTGGCAGTAAGTTACATAATCATACTGTGTGTTGCAAGAATAAAGAGACGATGCACTGTCAAAGGAGATCCGTTTCATAGCCATGAATAAATAAAGAATGTACATGTTCCTGTCGCAAGACGCCAGCAAAGGATTCAGTCAGACCCATTTCACTTTGCGGACAGACAGTAGCCGCTAGTAGCGGTGCAGTCTGGAAGATAGCGGACAGCGGTTAGCAATACGCATGGCGACTGTCCGATCAGCCACGACCCACCCGGGTAACACGCACACGCACACACACACACACACACACACACACACACACACACACGGCCTGTTGAATCCGTCACACGTCAACCTGTTAGGTCTGCATTGAGTCTCAGTTTACAGTACCTAGGCGTGCGCGTAAGGGGACTGTTGTAGATGCAAATTTATACAATAGATACACACACACGCACGCACACACACTGTTAACCCATCATAGCCTGCAGCATGCCCTGGCCAGAGTTGGTTCACCGTTCCTCCTGATCATCACCACATACGTAGTAATCCCGGCGTGCCGCAATGCCTCCACACCGTCCAGACGGTAGCGCTGAAACAAAACTGAACAACACACAGGCATTGGGTGTGTCCACCATACCTCCAGGAATGTAACGTAAACGTGGACTAGATCACTCCGTGCAGGTGAATGCCTTGACAACAAACATGATGAGGACATCATTCTTGCATCGATCTAATGCCAACACACGGATGCCGCCACTTTCCTGTCGGATGCAACGTGGGCACAGAAAACACTGCAGTGCCGGACGGTCTGTCAACGTGGACACCACTCGCATGAGATGCTGCATCAATGAAGACACCGTTCTAGCATCACGCGCGCATTGTCAACGAGAGGCCCATTCTATCGGCGTGTGTTGTGTCAACGCGGGCACCATTCTAGCATCGCATGTTGTGATAACGAGGGCACCATTCTAGCATCGCATGTTGTGCCAATGAAGGCATCATTCTAGCATCGATGAGAGTAGCGAAGGCATCATTCAGATTTCTAGCATCGATGAGTCAACGAGGGCACTATTCTAGCGTTGCATGTTGTATCAACGAGGGTACCACTTTAGCGTTGCACGTGGTGTCAACGAAAGCACCATTATCACAATCACATGCTGCATCAACGCAGGCATCATTCTAGCGTCGCACATTGTATCAACGCGGGCACCATTCCAGTAGCATCGATGTTCTATCAACGCAAGCATGCTGGGTCAACACGGGCACCATTCTGGTACCGATTTTCTGTTAACGCGGGCACCATTCCAGCGTCGCATGCTGTATCAATGCAGCAACCATTCCGGCTCAGGTCGCATGTTCGTGGCTCCCGGCTTTGGCTCGGCACTGCCACGAGCGAGTGCCACGAGCGCAGTCCTCGCCGCATTGTATCAACGCAGGTATCATTCTAGCATGGCATGCTATGTCAACGTGGCCATAACTCCTTTGTCACATGTTGTATCAACGCGAGCGCCGCTTCTAGCATCGAATGTTGCGTCAAAATGCGGGCACCATCCTAGCGTCAATGTGCATGGGCACTACTCTAGGGCCTCTTGTTGTGCTACTGCAACGAGGGCACTCCTCAAGCATCGCATACTAGTAGCATGTCGATCTGGACGTGTTGGGTCAATGCGGGCACCATTCTAGTGTGGGATGTATTGAACAATGCACGGACAGCAGCCTGCTCGGGTCCTCGCTGACCGGCAGCGCCTTGCTCAGCCGCTCGGCGTTGACCGTGTTCGTGTACTTGGCGCCCGCGTTGTAGCTGAGCGTGGCCTCCTGGGTGGGGTCACCGATGCTACGCAGGCTCTCCAGATGGGAGTGCAGCTTAGTGGACACGCGCAGCGGCACGCCCAGCAGCACTTCCATCACCACGCCGAGCGTCATGTCGTCCGGGCAACCAGTCTCGCCACACAACGTCACCAGTGTCTTGTTCATGCCAACGATGAACGCGTGCAAGCGTCGAGCCACCGCCAGGTTCATGCAGACTCCGGCTCCGCCCGTGCCAAACCAGTACTTGTCGATTGGCGCGTCGCCGTAATTCATTCTAAACATCGGCGGTAGTGAGAGCTTGCCGGCAACGCTCGGCTTTCCCACATAAAGGTACGGCGACGGTTTGCCGTTGCTGTTGCTCGTGCTACTAGTACGTGCTGCATTCTCCAGTACTGTTTGCAGCACTGGTATGTTCACGTACGTGTCGTCATCCACCAAGCATAGCCATCGGTCATCTGCGTCTCCATTCTGGCCCGCCACTGCTGCTTCCGCCGCTTGCACACCAGTAGCAGCAGTAGTAGAGGTGGTGGTGGCCCAGCGCGTCACGTACCAATCAATGATGCGCCACGTCTTGCAGCACAGGTCGGCCCGTTGGTGCGACTGGCCGCAGTCCGTGACGAACACACGGTCGTCCAGCGCGTCACTGAGCACCGTGTCCTCGGCGTCGGTGAATACGTACGCCGAGGACTGCGATTCCGACAGCCAGGTGCGCAGCAGCAGGGCTATGCGCGACTTGTGGTTCTTCTGAGAGGTTTTCACGGCGATAGTGATTTTCTGTGAGCCCGTGGCGCTCCTGCATATTGCCAGGAGCAGGAGCACTTGTACCACGACTGCAACTACCAATGCTATGCCAGGAAAGAGTGAGAGGCGTTTTCCAAGCTGCATGACGAACCTGTTCGTCGCCCGAGCACAGGGTCAGAGCACCGACGCGACACTAGTGACTAAACTCTATAGACTGAGTACTGTAGTACGCGGCACTACATCCATCCCATCCATTCCAGTGCAAGTGTAGGTCTTGCATGCAAACGAGTCGAGCGGGTGTTTTATTTCGGACATAAAGCCAGGCTGTTTGTCAGCTGAGCACAGATTCACAAACTAGCTACGGCCACCTTGACACAAACTCACAGAAAAGAGCAGAGGATAGCGCCGGGATCAGGGATGGTTTGGGAGCACTCGCAGTCTACCCATCCATTCCCAGTGGCTGTCTTGCCTTGTGAATGCAAACCAAGCGAATGTTCTATTTCGGACACAAATGAAAAGCTGTAGTGCCAAAAAATACTCAATATAAATGACCTGTCGATCGGTAAATCATGGTAAAATAGGCAGCATGCTAGCATGCTAGCACCGGTTTGTCGGAAGCGTCATCATCATCTCTGTCGTTTGTCATGGTCGGGGGTAGAGCACTCTACAAACAGCGTTGTAGCTCTGGACTCGTACTACAGTGTACCAGGGAGTCGTAAATACAGTGGGTATTTTACGACTCCCTGCAGTGTACCATGATCATGATTAGTATTACGTTCATGTGATCATAATCATGCATGTGAGGCTGTAAAAAAAGTCACGCAATCAACATTACGACATCACACTATATTCACAGTACTGCAGTCTAGTCGACTGTCGTCCTAGTCGTCAGTGCATGCAGTGTAGTCGATCGAGTCAGCAGCTTCGAACATTTCTGAAAAATAATTGGCAAAGTGAAATTGATCATTCATCGCTTGCACTGGTCAACTCAGATGGAGTGATTCTATGCCCGCTTTGTGAGGTGAATATTCAAGTAGTTGAGTGTTTTCCTAAAAGTATGGCCGAGGCAGCTTCCTCCAAGCCGAAGGAGGATCAATCCGTTCGCAAAGCGGAGGAAGATCTTCTCGTGGTGCGCAAGATGAAGAAATTGGCCACCAATTTGTGCGAGCCTGTGATCAACAGTGAGTCAGATTTCTAGGTTGCCTAGGGCGAGGATTTTCTACGTTCAATTGATAGCTTTTGTAGTGTCGCGTGCGCTGGTCCTGCAGTAACACCACACTGTTGTCATGGGCGGTGATGGCGAGGTCATTGTTTTTTGTTGTTGTTCTCCATTGACTGCATGGGTGGCTTAGATATCAGCGCATTCATAATGTGGAGACGTTTTTTGGATATATTTCCAATCTATGTGAGTAGGCCATGCACGTTCACTGCTTCTCACGTAGCCTGGCGGTTCTGGCGAACAGATAAAGGCACCCTGAAGGCAAAACTCTCACACGCAGCGCATGCTCGTGCACAGCACATGCACACACTTACGCATACACACGCGCACATCCGTGCACACACTTACACACCTTACACACACACACACACACACGCACCCAGTGGTCGGCTTTGCCCTGTGTAGACTCGCAAGCGAAAACAATGCATGATGCTCAGCCTTGTAGGAATACGATAATAGTAAAAAAAAAAAGAGTTGATAAATCGGCGAGGAGACAGAAATCCTATAAGTAGGCACTTCAGTCACGTGACAGGACCTGTCAAAATTTGCTGAGGTGAGAGTCCGTACTTGCGTGGCACCAGTCAAGTGCATGCGCTAAACTGTACAGGTACGCGCTATGCTTCGTTGTACGGGCTGATAGTTGGGCGCATCGTGTTGCTCTGACGTTCAGCTTTCAGTAGATCCCGCATACGTCATAGTGCGTACATTTTTGCGAGTTGTAGATCACGTACACTACCAGCAAAGAGTTTTTTCACAAAGAACTGTTGTTTGCTCGCGTTTGAAACGTTGCTTATCGTCTTCAGCGTCGTCTTTCCATTCGGAAACAGTAGAGTTCTTGTTTACCAGGGTTTGCGCATCGCTGCGCAAGGAGACATTATGTACGTAGGCACTGAGAAGTATGCGCTTTAGGCGGAGGAGAACGACGATGCGTCGTCCTACCTGGGCGAATTCTCAAAGCGTACTGAAAGCCAAGTTTTGACACGGTTGCGCTGGAAGGCCTACTGATGTTTACGAACAATCAAAAGGCACAGTGGCTGCTGGAGAAACCCTCTGATGAGGGGATGCTTTGATATACGCATCCAGGCACGCTTCACCAAAATTTCAAAGCTCACCAGCAGGCAATTCATGACTGCTGCATGGAGCAGTTGAAGGATAGGGAGGCAGATATCACACCATGGAAAGAAGCTACCAACAGAGGTCCTGAAGAACTTCTTGCCAACTTGGAATCACTTGAAGTGGCATGACTGTGAGCACGAATATCCTGTGCAGTAATTCGCGAGCGCGGGCGCGCTCGTACATACCCTCCACATTGCGGCGTACAACGAGGAAGTTCTCTGTTGTTTTTGTGCCAGAAGAATGTCTTTATAACTCTTACGCTTTTGTACCCGCCGGAGCCTGCCAGTATGTCGTTATCAGTTCATTTCACAGCAAACTGAAGCTGTTACTATGGCGTTGCTATGGGTTGCTATGGAGTTGCTATAGTGATTGCGGTCACAATTGCCGTATTCTTGCCTATTCTGAACTTTGATCTGTATTGTTTCGATCCATACAGGGTTGTCGGTGTAAGTGAGTGATGTGTGCTTGAAAAAAAACACTCTGATGTTTTGTGACTATATCCACTGATGATACTTCGGAGATGCTGTTGGTGCCACAAATTGTATTGATCTCGCCTCATCCAACTGCCTATCTTCAACCCTTCATATCTGAGTGGTATCACTGTGGATTTCAATAAAATTTTCTGTGTGACCTTGTGATACCCACCACCATCGATTGCCGATGATAAACCTGGAAAAAACGCGATTTCAAAAAATGGGGTGAAGTGCCTACTATAAGGCCGTCATCACACTACGTTCTCCGATTCTCGTTTACGTCTATGTCTATGGTGAAAAAACCAAAACGGGTGGTCATGTCATCAGACAGGCACAGTTCTTGGCGTGTACACGCAGTCACATTTGTGGAGAAATTTGAACGCACGTACATCGAAGTACGGGGTCGCTCGGCAAAAGGCTGGGGGAGATAAATTACGCACGTTCATACAAAAGTCGTATACCCCCCTCCTCTCCCTACCACGTCTACGTCTCCCGTTTCCTCTGCTCCCGTTTTCACCCTGTATCGGATCATCATGACAACCGACCAAAAACTCCTTACGTGGACGTAGACACAGCGCTTTGTACCATGGTGTGATGACAGCCTTATCGATAGAAATAATGTGTACGCACTCATACCACGACACCAGAGGAACAACAAGACTGTGAAGACAGTTGACCCGAGTCAAATACTGATATGCCGCCAAAAGTCCACTTCTAGAGTCCTGTATGGTCACGTTAATACTTTTGCATGAAATTTGCCTGTGCAGTGCTGTTCCAACTTGGCGTGAGATGCGCACAGAAGTACGGTTTCTCGATTTCAACCGTCCCCTGGGGGGGGGGGGGGGGGGGTTGAAATCAACCCGGGTCAAGCGCAGTGCGTCATGTAAACGCGCCAGTCAATCTGTGTTCATGGTTGGTTGAAACTTGACCCGGGTTGAAACGCCTCATGTCAACACAGCCTACAGTCCATTTCAAAAATATAGACGCACGGTAAAGAGAAAGGATCAATAAGTTACTAGTTATGACTAACAGTCCACCAAGGTAACGAGATATTATACAGTCAGATAGTGCGACAAGGTACGAAATTGACAGGGATATTGAGACATTCAACGACCTGACACCTAGCCCCAACGCATCTACGAAGCACAAACCAACAGCTAGCCTTCCAACTCGAAAGGCTCGGTTGCGAAGAGTTCCAATAAGGGGAAGGTATGCGCAGCGAAGATGTGCACGAGCTCTCTCTCTATCTCCTCTCTCTCTCTCTCTCTCTCTCTCTCTCTCTCTCTCTCTCTCTCTCTCTCTCTCTCTCTCTCTCTCTCCTTCCTGCGAATTTGTAATATTGCTCAGTGACTGGTTTATGCACAGGTATATACCTGACCCGTGTGCTTCACCCCAGTATATCACCAACAAGATGTTCTTGTAGCTAAATGTGCACGTTCGTGCTTGTGTATGCGTGTTTCTGTGTATGGGTGTGCGTGTGTGTGTGTGTGTGTGGGTGTGGGTGTGTGTGGGTGTGTGTGTGTATTGTGTGCGTGCATGTGTGTGTTATGTTGTGTGGTGGATGTTGTGTGGTGGCTGGTGGATGCGGTCCGTACAGATTACCAAGTGTGTCTCGTGAAGGAGGGATTCCTCAAAACGCAACTACGCCTGGCGTGCACCAAAGAGAAGAAGTACATGGTCCGCTGCATCGACAAAATGTGAGTGCGGTGTGTGCCGGCCTCTGTCTTTCACAAAATAAAATGAGATGTCCTTCTGCTTTCGACAAATATGCACATTGTACTGCCTTGGACATTGAAATCCGATGATGAGCAGGGTCGGCGTCCCTACTGCTTTTAGCGCGTACATGCAATATTCCACTCTGTTGTCCACATACACACACTGTAAACATGGACCGGCAGTGCTCGTGGCTGCAAGGCCAGCGCCCCGTGGCTGCTTGACTTCTCAACAAATTTCAATGTCCTTTACCGTACATTGCCAAAATTAATGTAATGTAGAGCGTATGGGTAATCCATGAGTGAAGTACCTGTTGATCTGGGTGTACCGTAGTAGTCTGGCCTTTTTTTCCTTTCCTTTGGGTGTGGAGTCGTGGACAACGCCATAAAGTACCCATTATGTGTGTGTATGGGTGTGGGTGGGTGTACCTGTGTGTGTGTGTGTCTGTGTGTCTGTGTGTACCTGCATGCCTGCTCGTACACAGCGCCCAGGACGAGGAGATCTTTGAGGATTGCCGTCGTGTTTACGTGCAGGCCCGATCGCATCACAACGATGCGCGCAGTGAATGGAAGGACGACAAGCGATCCAATGAGCTTGTTGACGCTTATCGGCGTGACCAAGCCAAGGTTGCCAAGGACCAAGAAAGCCTACTGAAGGACATTCCCGGCAGCTAAGCAGCTTAGCTCTCTGTAGCTTATGAACTTCTCTATGACTCTGGTGTGCGGTCTGGTATGAGCGAAGCTCTGACTTGGCCAATGCCCGTGCTCTTTGGCCGCTGCCAGATCGCCAGAATGAGAGAGAGAGACCATTTCAGCATCCTCTGCTGGCAGGGGGCCTTGGCGTGGCCGTACATGGTCCGCGCAGCTGCTGTTTAATAGGGGGCATGCACTGTGCGATGCACGCCGGTGGCGCCCTGGTGTTTGTGCTGCCGACAGCAGCCCGGCTGGCTAGCTGTCACTGTGGCGGTGCAAAACACTATGTGCTCGTCTGCTGTACCACAGCGGGGCATTTTCTTTAAAGGCTGCTGGGACGGCTTGTTGGCTGATTGATGCTCGCTGATTCCGTTTGTCGATTTCATTTCGTTGTTTTGTCATTGTTTGCACCGTGCGCATGCGTGCACAGTGCCAGGTTGAGATACCGCACTCGCTGTGACCAGTCACTCGTCATCATTATCATTGGATGTGCGCCGCCGCACAGCTCTGATTTACAATGTACTTGGAAGTACTCTCATCATGTGCTTGCTGTACAGTGCGGATTGTCTGGCTGCTCTGTCGCACGGTAGCCCGTGTGCCTGCGCCGGGCAAGCCAACTTTTAGATGCAGATTAATTTGATTGCTTGTTGTTGATCTGGTCCTGTGAGTCTGTGACTGCAGCATGATGTGGCTGGCGTGTGTGTGTGTGTGGGCTTTGTGCAGTGTTGTGCATGCACTTCAAATTTCCAAATCACTTCCGCTTACTTTTTCATTAGCTGGCGGGGCTGAAAATGGGAAGGTGACAGTCCTGTACTGCAGCTGTGGCATACGAACTCCAGCCTCTGGTTTTGTGTGCCTTTGTGCGGGCACGAGCCGCTCTGTATTTACTCTGCATCAGGGAGTACAGTACAAAATACCTGCTCTGCACAGCAAGTCACACAAAACCAGGTCCAGCCTGGTGATTTCACCTTCCACCACTCTAGCACATTTTAAAATATTCTGTGGGTGTACCTATTGAAGGACAACCACCTGCACTGAGTCTGACCAGCGATATACTGTAAGACATGTTATTATAACGAGTCGCAAATTTAACGATTGTCCAAAATTCATAGGTTAACGAGAAGATAATGTTAAAACGATCTTGCAGTATTCTGCCACATCCACACACAGCATATATGATGCAGTAAGGCCTCAACGGATCTTATTATAACGAAGAAATGTCATCCGTTAAAACGTTACATTTGCTTCCTCGTTAACGCGTTATATATACATGTCCTACAGTATGCATGATGGTGCATCACGGTGGTTTATGTCAGGGAGTCGTAAAATGCCGTATTTTACGACTCCCTGGTTAATGTGTAATAGCGGGAGCACGTGAGTCATGCCGTCAGAGTGTTTGGCTCCCTGGCCTGGTTCACTAATGCCGTAATGGTGTAATTGCCAATCTTCTTCCTTTGTTGTTGATCCATCTATTATTAGAGCGTATTGTAATCCATACCCTGCGTGGGAAAGAGGATTTGCCAGCTTTGGTATGACCAGATGCAGTACGTGTGGTTTGAATGATTGATTCATCATTTTTTTCATAAAAATTATTATGAAAAAAATTATAAAATTATGGAATATGGTGTCACACATTTTTTGCTGATAGCTTGCATGATGACGTAGCGGGTAAAATATGCGAAAATATTTATTATAGTGCGTGCATGTACGTCATTTCACGGATTGGCGGTTTCGTCATCCAAAAAGTCAAAGACAGTCTTCATGCATGCATATGCGCATGGTCTTGTTGTACCTCATAGTCATAGTCGTAGTTACTACAGTCGTCCCTCTCTAATCCGGCACTTTCTAATCCAGCACCCTCGATAAACCAGCACAATTTTCAGTAGCCAAAATGTCCTCTTCATGCACATTGCAGCAGTAAATCAGATTAATTTTGTTAATCCAGCACCCTCCCTAATCCAGCAGATTTTCGTGGCACAAATGGTGCCGGATTATAGAGGGACCACTGTAGTTGTAGTCCACCAAACTCAAAACTCTGGCAGTTCATACTATCTTTTCTCACAGTTTGTCCTGAAAACTACACCTCGATCTTCCCCAGCTGGATAGTTTCGTTGATTCTGGCTCAGCTACTAGCTTTATTGTAGCGCGTGACACTTGGTTGTTGAAAAACTCTTTGCTAGCACTTAGTTTTTACCCTATCTTTCACGACACCGTACCGAGTGTTCGCTGTTTTCTTGAAAAGTATTCTGAGAGGATGGCGAGGCGTTATGAGGAGGGTGGCTTTAGCTTTGCCTCTGCGGGCGGCAGGTCGGCTGAAAGCTCCTCTGGCCAGACCGACGTTGGGAAGGTGAGATCTCCAGCATGCATACGTCTCCCCGTCTCCCAATGCTAATACTCAATTGTTTACTGCCCATACAATCGTACACATTTCCAATAGCTCGTAATTAATTTTAGTGCAATGCAAAATGAACATGCACAGCTTTCCACCACTGGACAGTGATATGCAGTGCCATGCATAGAGTCTGGTGTAATCCCCGGGCAAAATAAAAGAACTTGCCATTGTGGATTTGCGTTGGGTGGACACTAGCTTTCTGTTGCTCTCTGCTAAGCTGATGACTCGGTGGTTACTTTCCCCAGTTTTACGTGTATCTGATCATATGGGACAGCACAGTACTGTCTGGTGCCGAAGAACAAACCGCCTAGAATTTCACCAAGCACAGCATACTAATGTATACACGGTGACTCAGCTCTGCACACATGAAGATAAGAATGGTCTAGGCTACGAGCCCCCCGCCCAGTTGTTCGGCGACCAACAGTACTGTACGCAAGCCACCATGGACTATTTCACGGGATCTACATTAGTACCTGTGTGGTATGAGCGGCATCATCCATGATTGCCGCCGTCAATACGGTATCGCCCGGCTGGGGCGAGTTCCAGACCTGCTTGTTCACTTGTCCTGGCTCGGCGCAGTGTGAACTTTGACCTCTTTGCTGGGCGCGACACTATTCGGTACCGGCATGATCACCAAAAGGAGCCAGCCGGCTTGTACCGGGAATGCCGGTAGATGCTGCATGCTCTCCGAGGCTGTGTTCATCAGGCGGTTTCCAGGCCTGTTCGATACCGGGGTTAAAACCATGCCTGGGTTTGGAGGTTAGTGAATATGGCTGTCCCTCCAGGAACTTGCGATTCCGCGGCCGCGTTGTTTTCCGCGATTTGAACAAAAGTCCGTGATATCCGCGATATTAAAAATCATCCGCGTTATTGTAGAAAACTGTCCTTGATACTGGAAAAGCACCGCGATATTTCGAAAAGAAACCGCGATATTCGAGTCTTTCTTCGATGTTGTTTATTTCTTCAAGCTCGTCAGTAGTTTATTTGTGAGATCGACACCAGAATGGAGAAGTTTCTGGGCAAATCAGCGGCTGACAAGTCACAAAATAAGGCTCGCATCGAGTGTTGTCCGAGGATGGAGAAAAGCTGTCTTGCAAGCTCCTGTCAGGCAGTTGAACACAGTCAGCGGAGCACACGTTCTGTTTTGTCATGCATGATTTATGCTGTACGACTCGTACATCGTACACCACTACAGTACAAGTACGAAAATCGGCCGCAATTTTCGCAATATTCCCCGCAATTTGTGGCACTTTACCTCGCAACTTCTTCCGCGATATTTCCGAAATGTCTCCGCAAGTTTCTGGAGGGACAGATATGGTGTTGATCTGATGATTGACTCGATGAGAGTACCAAGGTCCATTAGTGGAGTGTCACATTATCGAGTGACTCATTTGGTGGGTCATTTGGCAATACTTCGCACGCCTGTCACCAAGCACGTACATGAGTGTGGTCTTTCCGTTAGTTCTTTCCAACCTACCCCTGCTAGTACTAGGCACCGTGTTGAAAATCAGCCGACATCAAGCGCACCTCGTTACGTGCCCGCAGCTTTGGGGTTTTGGGGATTTTCCCTTCCTGACTATCGGCGGCACCCAGCGTACTAGTATTGAGAATACTTGTAGTCCCGTACACAGCCGCAATTTCTTGTTTGTACGTCTACTATTCCATGCTACCGTCAACTTCGTGGATAATAACTTCGTGGATAATAACCTCTGATGGAGAGCCAAGGATTAAAATTCAAAAGGACGACCAAAAGTTTGCAAGTCGTTGAATGTCATGATCTCATCAGTCAGTTTTGTGCTAACTGTTGCACATTTTTGACTCAACTGTATTCTGCTAATAACCGTTATGTTGGACAAAACGGGTAACTTGTAAACTTTCGGTCCTCTTTTTGGATAATAACCTCGTGGATAATAACCTCGGATATAACAACTCCTGAATAACGACACAATCTTCAGGCATACATGACCAGTTGACTGCTGCATACTTTCAACCTGGCGAATAACGACAACTCCCGAACAACGCCACTTTCCCTATGCACCGTGATGGAGGATCGTTATTCCCAAGGCTGACTGTACTGTCGTTTTTCCCAAGGCTGACTGTACTGTCGTTATTCCACTCGGATAGGCATTGCTGTAGATCTGCACGGTAGAGACGATCAGGTGCGGTGACGCAATATCGCATGCTCTGATGGCTCGTTCACATGTGCGTCTCTCGCACGCCACTGCCTCAGTCTCATGTCGAGGTGTTTGTAAGTCTTGGGACCGCACATGTGCACAGTACTGTCGGGTGCCGAAGAACAGAGTGCCCAAGAACGACCAGGCTAGGGTTTCACCAAGCACAGCCTATCGATATAAACGCCGTGACTCAACTGCTCCCTAGTTTTTTCACCAAGCACAGCATACCAATGTATACACGGTGACTCAACTGTGTATAGACTCTGTAGTACATGAAAATAAGAAGAACGGCCTAGGCTACACGGTTGACCCCCAGTTCTTCGGCATGCAACAGTACCGTATACCATATATGCGTGTGCACCGTTCTGTAAATGTCCTCTTGGGCCGTGCTCCTACTCTTACTAACGTGAACCGGACACGCCATTTTCTCTGCTTTTAGCGTCTCTCACTCTGCAAGAAGTGTGGTGTGAGCACCTCTCTCGCAGTACATCAACATGGCTTCAGTATGGTGCGGTTTGTGTTTACTGAATGACTTCATATCAACTGTACTCTGATTACAATCTTGTTGACTGTCCTGTTCTGCTTCTCCAATGCAGGAGCTGCAAGAAATTTCTGGCATGAACCGACGGTTCACTGCCATGATTGGAAAGATTGGTGGCACGGCGGACTCTGGGTCGCTGAGAAAACAGGTGGGGATTAAGTGTTAGTCTCAGTTGGTCTGTCTGTCCATCACTCTATCTCACACACGCACTCACTCTCTCACACACACACACACGTGCACACACATCCACACACACACACACACACACACACACACACACACACACACACACACACACACACACACACACACACACACACACACACACACACACACACACACACACACTCTCTCTCTCTCACTCGAAAAATTGCTCTGCCGTGCCAAAGGTGATTCTGTGTTTCATTTGCCACGGTTGTAGTTGCATATGAGTGATGGACATACTGGTACATATGACTGTGTAATTCATGCTATATCCTGTCCACTATGTACTCACAGATCCATGAGCTGCAATCAATGTTCACACGTTCTGTCAAGTCGGCCAAGACCAGCATTACACAGCAAGTAAAGAGGTCAGTCAAGGGAAGCAGTGCAGCCTACTGTAGAACTCGTTCAGCCGCACTCACCAAGAGCAACCTTCTGACCCCTAAAATTGGCTTTAAATTGTAAAAAAATGAATTTAAAAAAAGTCCTACAGTATGTAATTAAATAATTGCAGGCTATTCCTAGTTGCGGATTTTGTCCATGTGCCTGTTGAAGTTCTACTGTGTGTGTGTGTGTGTGTGGTTGGAACTCTACCTCTCCATGTACTACGTTCTCTAGCCAGATCTTTACCGGGCTTGGAAGTGGCGACGTCAGAAGTCAAGAAATATCGACAAATAACGACTTCTGGGTACTAGTACTTGGATCCACTCTGCATATAGCGCAGTACAGTATCGTGGTAGTAGGCTCCTGGCGTTGTATGCGAGTGTAAATGTTTTGTACCAGGAGAGGGTACTCGATCGGTTGAGCCCAGTCCAGTTATTCCTGGCGGATATGTCACCATGCTGTGAAGGAAAACCACCCGAACGTGTATGGATCTATATTAGAACTGGAGTGGATCCAAAAGTCAGCGTTGGCACAACTCTGGTCTGGCCGTGACATAGCAATTCCAGTCCCTAATGTAGGTATGTGGAAGCGGTGTGACGTTTTCTTCTTCTCTTTGTGCGTGCATGTGTGCGTGTGTGTGCGTGTGTGTGTGTGCGTGTGTTTGTATGTGTGTGTGTGGGGGGGGGGGGGGGTGCATGCGTGCGTGTGTGTGTTTGTATGTGTGTGCGTATATCATGATCAGTTCTGACTCTGCGGTGAAGCTACAAGGCAATCGCTTCCTGCAGTCACTGCAGGGTGAGGTGACCGCGTTTGAAGAGTCGCTCAAGGAACTGCGCAATAAGGAGCAGAGATATCCGGCTACTAACTTTGCTTGTGAGTACAGTCAGACCTCGCATAACCGCACACATCCATTTTCCACAAACAATATCCGGATAGGCGAGGGAACTGGATAATCAAACACATACTGTATGTATGCATGACATATGCTGTAAATCGGTAACCAACAATTTTCTTCCGGATGTCGAGGGATCCGGATAAAAGAGGACCGTCTAAGCGACGTGTGACTGTAGTAGTGCAACAGTGCACGGTGTGCTCCGAAATATTACTGCGTCTTGCACACTGTACACGTGTATGATATCCCGTTGTGTATTCTACTGATGAGTATAGGCATGTATGTGTGCGGGTTTGTCTGTGTGTGTATTCATACGTTTGTGTGCATTTTTGTGTGTGTGCGCGTATTCATACGTTGTGTGTGTGGACGGGTGTGTGCGTGTGTGTGTGTGTGTGTGTGTGTGTGTGTGTGTGTGTGTGTGTGTTTATTCCACTTGCCAGCGTCGGCCTCTACCAGCAAAGGAGATTTCAGTTTTGAGTATGACGATGACCGGGGTGGCCAAGCCGGTGGTACGGCAGCAACAGATAACTTTGCCGCACAGCGCCAGGCTGATATGCAGGATATAGAGCGGCGACAAGAGGATCATGATGCGCTGATGAACCTTGAAGGGTATGCATCCACATGAATAGGGATTTTGGTGTGTATGTGTGTGTGTGTGTGTGGGGGGGGGGGGGGGGTGTTGCGTGTGTGTGTGTGTGTGTGTGTACGTGTGTGTGTGCGTGCGTCTGTGTGTGTGTGTGTGTGTGCGCTAGCACTTATGTTTACCTATGCGTGTGCTGAATATGTTGAAAGCCATTTGGCATTGAGCCGATTGACAATATAATATTATTAATGTCAGTAGAATTGGGTTCTGCCCTTGGCTGTATGCAAGCATTTTCATTTTTGTTTATCCTGCTCCTGTCTGGTATGTCTCGGTCTAAACATCCATCGACTATTGTGTCTGCTTGTGCTCTCTCGTGTTAGACAGAGGTCATGAGAATGATGAGATTACGTCATCGTTTTGTATTGAGTGACATCACCCGCAGTGCTCACTGCTCTGCCGATATGAATCGTGAATGATGATGTCTTTTGCATGCACGATGGTGTCGTTCGCATCCATGATGATGTCATTCGCATCCATGATGATGTCGTTCGCATCCATGATGATGTCGTTCGCATCATCTGTATAGCTACTGAACGGCCTTAGATAGTGCTGGTGTCACCTATATGTGTGTGTGTGTGTGTGTGTGTATTGTCGTTTGTCTGTGTTCAGCGATATGCGGGACCTTCACACAATGTTCGTTGACATGGCTGTAAGTCACATGGCAGATTTCGTTGGTGGTTCTCTCTCTCTCTCTCTCTCTCTCTCTCTCTCTCTCTCTCTCTCTCTCTCTCTCTCTCTCTCTCTCTCTCTCTCTCTCTCTCTCTCTCTCTCTCTCTCTCTCTCTCTCTCTCTCTCTCTCTCTCTCTGTGTCTCTCTATGTCTGTCTCTCTCTCTCTCTCTCTCTCTCTCTCTCTCTCTCTCTCTCTCTCTCTCTCTCTCTCTCTCTCTCTCACACACACACACACACACACACTCACTCTCTCCCTCTCTCTTTCCAGTTTCCTTGGCGTAGATCTGATTGTATACTGTTGTTTTCTCTATGTTTCCTGCTCTGCAGGCTCTTGTCAATGATCAAGGAGAGATGGTTGATCACATTGGTAAGACTACCTGATGACACCAGCGATGTCATGTGTGTCATCATGGACTCATGCCACCAGGGACTTATGACGCTGGAGGGGGTGGGGAATGGTTTATGGCGCCAGGGATTCGCAACGCCAGGGATATGCCACACTCTAGATTTATGACACCATGGACAAGTATGAAGGTCACACGTGATCAGCAGCGTGCAATTTCTTAGCTGTGGCCAGAGTGGCAAAAAAATTCACGGTTCGCGTGAGACTCGGCTGGAAACTGAGTTTTCCGCATTTTTTCCAGAGTGGCAAGCGTTCCTCAAAATTGTCCTGCTTGTTTGGGCTCCCAACGTGTTTCCACCTTGCGCCTGTGACTTGCAGCATGCTGGCCTAAATCCTGTTTTTCTTCACATGTACTGTATATCCCTGTTTATAAGTTTCACTTGATTGTAAGTCGCAGCCCATTTTCACGCCCGAGCCAAATTGTCTCAGTACATTCACATAAGTAAGAAGTCACACTCGATTACCCTTGGAGTTTAGTGTAGAAAGGTGCGACTTACGTTTTTTTCGGGGAAATACGGTACTTGTATGAGAGGTGTGCAATGAGTCAGTGGAAGCCAGTCACACACAACAAATCAGCAGCTCCTAACACATGATAGGGCAACCTAAGCACGTAAGCTTGTTATCGGGTGTGAACGTCACTACTTGTCTCGTTTAAATGCTAGTTAGTGTAAACCTGGAGACTTTTGCGACCGGTAAACGTTAGCGGTTTTTTTTGCGATGGGTGTGAAATCGCAAAAGTAAATCGGCGCGAAACGTAGTAACAAATAGTTGAAAACGCTTAGTATCAATTGACTGCGATCGAGAATATTTCCAGGTGCAGATTGGTCTGTGCTCGCAGATTGCGAACTAAAACCGGCGCAAACGATTCCCGCTTCACAGTACATGGGTGGTGACTGGCACCTAGTACGTGTCTCTGTTGATGTGTAGTCCACACACACACACTACTTCTCTCTCTCTCTCTCTCTCTCTCTCTCTCTCTCTCTCTCTCTCTCTCTCTCTCTCTCTCTCTCTCTCACCTGGTCTTGGTTGGCAAGAGCATACGTAGACCGGAGAGTCTTGTTCCTGGGAGACTGCTGTACGAGTAACTTAGACAGTATTCTCTATGCAGTTATGAAATGTTGTGCCGTGTGCGGCACTGACGCTGTGACCCTGTATGCATGTTGCCAATATTTTCTATGCCTGATGCTGCTGCTGGTCTGGCTGGTCTGGCTGCTGATGGTCTGGCTGCTGATGGTCTGGCTGCTGATGGTCTGGCTGCTGATGGTCTGGCTGCTGATGGTCTGGCTGCTGATGGTCTGGCTGCTGATGGTCTGGCTGCTGATGGTCTGGCTGCTGATGGTCTGGATGCTGATGGTCAGGCTGCTGATGGATGCTGATGTGGCTGCTGATGGATGCTGATGTGGCTGCTGCCAAGTGTGTGTAGCACTTCTCATCCAGGCTACTGTCGCCTGCATGGCTGTGCGAATGTGTTGGAGTCGACAATGTAGCCTGATCTCTCTCTCTCTCTCTCTCTCTCTCTCTCTCTCTCTCTCTCTCTCTCTCTCTCTCTCTCTCTCTCTCTCTCTCTCTTTCTTTGTTGTGTGCCATTTCCTTGCACCTATCAGAGGATAACATTGCCTCAGCGGAGATGAAAGTGGAGGCTGCTGCAGATAGCACGCGACAGGTAAGGGCAGTGTGCATCTGTAGGTGTTGTGTGTGTGTGTGTGTGTCTGTGTGTGTGTCTGTGCGCGTGTGTGTGTGTCTGTGCGTGTGCGTGAGAGACAGAGACAGACAGAGAGTGGGTGAGTGAGTGAGTGAGTGGGTGGGTGGGTGGGCGAGTTAGGGAACCATGACGACTTGACTTGCCGCCTGCTAGCAGCTTTATGTCGCTTTTTCAAATTACAGCATTGGTGGATAGGGACCCAGCAAATATGCCGGCACTAAATCAAGCATTTTAGGGTGCAACAATTACATCAGCATTATCGGTGGTTTCGCGGGAATAGCGGGATGGGAGATTATCAGCCCTGTGCTTCATGGATTGTACACTGGCCCGGAATGACTTTCCCATTCCCGCTGCAGTTTTGATCGTACGATGTAAACCAGGGTAGGAGGGAAACAGCACTGCTTTCAGTGGCAGAGTTTGAGCAGTGAACCGAGCTCCGTATCCGAAGCCAAATACGTACCTGTATTTCGTTGGCTTGTTTGGCACTCATTGTACATTTCTATGATCTTGTCATTGTGTTGTTCAGGCTGTGGAGTATCAAGGGCGTAAATGCCTGGTTATGTAATTCCCACTACCACCACCACCACCACCACCACCACCACCTCTCTCCTCCACTTTTACCAAGTCCTACATATGAGTCATAGCACCCAGGGCTCCCTTTCCAACCCCACTCCAACCCAGTCTAACCCAGCTTCAACCTAGTCAACCCCACTCCAACCCGGTCTAACCCTGGTCCATCTGGACCTAACACAATCTGCCCGCTTTGGAACCCGGCCACTGACTGTACAGGTGGGATTTTCCCTTTGTCCGGGGCTCTATGTGCGATGTCTGTGTTGTGATATTTGTACTGTCGTGTGCGACTCGTGTGTGTGTGTGTGTGTGCTTGTGTGTGTGTGTGTGTCTGTTTGTTTCTGTGTCTCTCTGTGCGTTTCTATGTTCTGTGTCTCCTCTGTGTGTCTGTATCTGTGTTTTGTGTGTCTGTGTGTGTGCCTCCGTACCAGTCCTATGAAAGCTAGTTTAGAGGTGGCTTTGTAGTGCCGGTGGTGTAATTGCAGTCTCTTTGCACTGAGACTATCAAACTGTCATTTTTTGTGTATGGCCAACATAATTGCTATGTGCTCTGCATGACATGTGCTGTTTCCTGACATCTGGTCGATTCCAGGTTTTTTGTCGCATGCTCCTACCCCCAGCACTCGTTATGCGCAGCAATGGCATAGCAAGCTCTCGGCAGCTGTATTGTAAATTTGTGTCGATTGTCGTTTCTTTCAGTGTGGAAAGTTCTGTGCTTGTGTTCGTGCATGGATCGTATGCGATCTCTCTTGCTTCGCACGCACACACACACACACACACACACACACACACCCACACACACGCGTATGGCGAACCCGGTTTGAGATGTCTGTGTAAAGATGCCCATACAGATGGGTGGCCAGGTAGCCATCGTTAAACTTTCTGCACGTTATCATGCCAAAATTACAAAAACGTTAACTTTTTGGTCGTTAAACTTTCCGGTTTTACAGTAGCTGAATCCAGTGCAGTATTCTGCATTGATTGCTGATCGTGTGTTTCTTTGTTCTGTTCTGTGCTGTGCCGTGTACAGGCTGCAACGTACCAGAGCAAGGCGCGTCGCAAGAAGGTCATGTGTGCCATCATCTTGGGAACTGTGCTGGTCGTCATCATTGTCGTAGTGGTGGTAGTCACTACGAAGAAATGATCGCAATGCCGGCCGCGCGGCGACGAATGAAGGGAGACAGGAGAGCCAGCCAATGCGTATGCACGCCAGGCAGTTGTCGCTTGGTGGAAGTGACACAGTGGTGTTTCCGGCTGCCCTGGTCGCACGAGACGTTGCGGTAATAACTTTGTGGGGGTGGTGGGTATCAGCAGTGCTCTCTCTCTGCAGTGGTGCTCTTCAGGAAATACATACTGCCTTTGCCTGTCTTTGCTTTGGGTTTCCGCCGGGAATGGTGGTGGCATGTCAGTTGGATGTAGATATTATTATTATTCTTTGCTACCGCTGTCGATAGGCAGGTCTTGATCTGCCTATCGTTGTTTGGGTTGATGGGTAGAGTGCTGGGGGTGGTTGCTTTTTAATGTTCCTATCGGCTGTGTGCTGCTGGACGAGTCTATTTTCACCAGTTTTAATCCTCATTTCTTTTTATTAATTTTTGCACATACTCATGAAACTAGGGAATTTTAGCATTTTTTTTACAATTTTTGAACTTTGACGGTGTGGTGTGACCTGTATCATTTGAAAAAGTGGAAGTGTAAGGATTAATCGTGGGGGGGGGGGGAGGGGTGTAAGCAAAATTGAGCCTGCTGTCTATCTAGAGTAACGGCAGCAGTTTCGACCCTGTTTTAGCAGGGTCGAAACAGCGGAGCACCAGCGGAGCACAGGGTTGCAAGCCAAATAGTGACAACTGGCCAGTTCAAAGCATCAAAGTCAGCGAGCAACAAACTGCCGGCGCAAACAGGGGCGTCGGATGGGATTTAGGTGAACGGTCAACCACCTGAAGTACAATTTACTCGTGGTCAATACCGTAGCGTGTCCGACGCCCCTGTCAAAGCATTAAAGTCGGAGTGCTCTGACTTCAGAAACACAGCATGAAGATAATGGGGTATGTGATTCAAGTCACTAGGCAGCCAGCTGTCTGGAGATTGGAGCATGTTTTGACCAAAAAAAAAAAAGTTGCTTCGATATGTAGAGCACAGCTTGCAGGTAGAGTTTGATTAAAACTGCGGCAGGGGTAGGTGAAGAATAACACTATATTCTGGTAGATTACCTTCCGAGTTATCGATGTCGATACTACAAGTTTACTGAGTACACTCACTGCACAGCTGGATCATGGAACACGAGGAGCAATAGTAACGGGTAATGCGATAACGTCAAATCCGCCATATATAGGAGCCAGTTGGGGTGGCAAAATGCTCAAAGCGCGTACAGAAACCCCATATATAGAAGAATTTGGGGTGGCAAACGTACTATATGACGTGTATCGCATAACCTGTATAGCATGTGGACAATTTGGGGTCCTAATTCTGTACAATGTATTGTGAAGTATGATATGAAAGGTTGTTATGAAGCAAGCATTGCATTACTATGGCTAACTGAAGTTCTATTGCATTGCATGGTGTGGCAAAAGAAATGCCTGGATTGGCCGAACTGGAGTTGAAACAGCTCGGAACGCTTTTAACTATACTTACCTGGAAATGAAATAGTCGGCTACCCATTGAGCGAGCGCCATGAAGAGCAAGGTCTGAAATTTTGCTTGAAATTCCTGCCGGGAACTTGTGCATCTGTGACAACTGTGCCGGCAGTGGTAGATGGCAGTCTTGGGTTATCGGGAAGGCTCCACTCTCAGTGCGGTGAACGCAGCAACATCCACATGTCTACTTGAGCATCATTGGTTATGAAGACTAAAACAAGACGTGACAGACCACATAAAATAATGACTGAGAACACGAAAGAAAGAAGAAAACTGACATACACAGTATTAAACACACACGCTCACAGAAACACCCGCACACAGACACGGGCACATGTTTACGTACGCACAGAGTCGGACACACGACTGAATGATATACAGTCACAGAGCCGGACACACACACACACACACACACACACACACACACACACACACACACACACAGAGTTCAATAACTGACGGTTCCAACCGAGACAGTTGTGACTTCAGTATAGAACCCGTACATGGCAAAGGAATTATATCAAGGCTGGTCTGAGATCTATCGTCACCACTAATCTATCAACAGTAAGTTTTCCAGAGCAGGTAAAATCTCCTGGCCCCAGAAATACGATGAATAATGTAGAGCCGGGTGCTGCGATGTCCCAGCACTGCACAGACTGTTCATCGCACTGGAACGCGGCACTACGGCGACTTTCTCTGGCCAGAACAGTGACTCAGTAAACTGTACACAGACGCCTGGCACACTGCTCAAATAGTGTACAGTCGGACCTCGCAAAAAATATCCGGATAGGCGAAGGAGCCGGATAATCGAACACCGGTTATGTTGGATGCATCACGTATGCTGTAAATCTGTAACCAGCTGTTTTCTTCCGGATGGCAAGGGATTTGGATAAAAGAGGACCGGATAAGCGCGGTCTGACTGTAGTCACGACTGGGAATTCCGCAGGGCAATCGCGGCGCTATCAATCAGCTACGGTTTCCAGATCCTAAGTCCGCTTTCTCAAGGACTTTGGATTGCTTTTTTGTTGTTGTACATGATGCATCATGCACATACATCGTCTTTGAAGTTTGAGCATATTTCTTGTGAAATTTAGGCAGCACACTGCGTCAAACACCCACACTCCGATATCAGATCAGAGTTGCACACACAGGGTTGTGGACTCTAGTTTGCTGTGCCTTGCACACACACGAAAAACAACACACACACACACACACACACACACACACACACACACACACACACACACATACACACACATACACACACATGCACGCACGCATGCACACACACATACGCATGCACATGCACACACATCCCACAATTCCAAAGTAATGTACTTACCTTACACGAGCAGGGCAGCGCAAGTCCATTTCTTTTTTTCTTCTTTTTTTTGGTCCGAAGAGTGTGCGTCCTTCCACAGCCTTATACACTCAACTCCTGATACAGTATAACGAACACCAATGTGCAGGAGAATTTGTTCCTGATAGCCGAAGTTTGTTATAACAGAAACTCACTTACACTGTGTATTCAAACTGGGACGTGGACAACTGGTCGCTATACGCGAGTTCGTTATAAGCGGAGTCGACTGTACATGTACACTACATTGGGACAGGGTGACAAGGCATGCAGCATGATCCACACCATAATACGTAGTGTTGGCAGCATGAAAACCACCAGTCACGGTTACTTGGACGGGAATCTAACACTGGGGCTCTGTTTGCACTCGAGAGGCCGGTGTGTTCTCCCAAGACGTTCTAGAATACAGGTTAACGGCTGAAAGCGTGTACGGTACATTCATCCAAAACTGGCGCCCTAACGTTTTAGTTTCTCTGACATGACACAGAGTGGTTCAATGTAGTGAAAACAACTGCACGCCGCCCTGCATTGCGCTGCCTGTGCAAGTCTTCCAGGACATAATTGAAGTTAAGAAAAATTGTCACCAAATTACCAGAAGGAGGGTTTTAACTCAAAATTGAAACATTCAAGGGGAGTTTCAACTTCAACATGCAGAATAGCTTGGGCTGAATGGACTGTATATTCTTCTCTCACATACCTAGTTCTCGATTAGCCTGCCATCGATCTTAAGACCCTCCGTGTGTCCCTTCCTCACAAACTGCAAAGATGCAAGGAGACACAGTTTATGTATATTTGCCACTCACATCTACCATGGGTAGGTAAAGCAATGCTGCATAGCAGAAATTATCTTGTAGAATACACTATCCACCTTAGACCCCCTCCCTCGTTCATTTGAAACTGATATGCACTTGGAACAAACCCAACAGCGGGTGCCCATAAATCTCCTTCTGTGTTGGAATTTCAGAACAGCTGGAGTTTATTCATATCCATGTTCTAGCACAATGCTTAGTTTCCTTTGTCTTGCAAAAATATCGATAATAAAATACAGTGCGTACAGCTGACAACAGGAGGTTGCAATGACAGAATATGGGTACAGTGGAGATCGGATATAACCACATTGCATATAACGACAGATTGAGTTAAGCAACACAATTCTGTTGCTCAAGTCGTTTAGTAAGTCCTTTGTGAAGATCGAATATAGTGACATTTTGTTCTCTCCGGAAGGAGTGTCGTTATATCCAATCTCCACTGTTTTAGCTTACCTCCACCAGGAGAGAGAACCTTGATGTGCCCAGAAGGTAGGGTGCGCTTCTTTGAAGTATCGTGGTGTTGGCCTCGCACTTGGTCAGGTTGGGATCTAGAGAAAAAATCACATCCTTCAACGCATGCACGCACAGTACCACACACACACCGTACCACACGCACACACGCACGCACTCACACGTGCATGTATGCACATATGCCTGCCCACATGCATACACACACAAATGCAGGCACACACGCAAAACCTACCCACGAACGCATACGCACAAACTCCATTATGTTAGCGAAGGAAATAGGCACAGTACTCCACTGACCATCACACACCGACACAGTAATACTCCACCTTAATGGCTCCACGGGATCAGCAGGCATACATATCTCCATGGCATATCTATCAAACTCCAGTACTCCAGGAGTATGCGTTCACAGTTTCTGTGGGAGGATGGGTGGGTGGCACAATGCGTGTTCTGCACCACACACTCATCCCCCTCCCCCAAGTTTCTGCCAGCCGACAACAACCACAGATGGTCGTCATCCTTGGCATTCGGTGGCATGACTAGTTGGTTATAGGGGAGGAGGGAAGCATACACTAAGGCAGTGTAGCTTCTGTACGGTTGGAAGTCATTCACGTTGAGTGAATACAGCCAAACTAGTGTCCGAGAAATCCAATCGGTGGTCCTCTTCAGGTAGCAGTTTGCCAGCTGAACATCACACGAACTAACGTTATCTGACAGAGCAACCACTGTAGTTGCTAGTTCGAGCTGGGCTGAGCTGTGAGCTGAGAGCTGTGGGTTGAGCTGTGAGCTGAGCTGCGGGCTGAGCTGAAAGCTCATCTGTGGGCTGAGCTGTGGGCCGAGCTGTGGGCTGAGCTGTGGGCTGAGCTGAGCTGTGGACTGAGCTGTGAGCTGTGGATAGCATACCTGTGGTCCACACCTCTGTAACAGCCTTGGACAAAGCCGCAACCAGTGGCGGGACTTCGTGGTGACTTCAGGTAGGATTTGGGCTGGATACAAAAGGCAAAGTGCAAACTCCCGCTGTACGGCTATAGTGAAGTGCTTGGACCGGGCCTTGAGAGCCGTCCGATAGGTGATGTCCAGAACAATGTGAACAGAGTGCGGTGCGACCCCCTGATGCTGGTCGAGGGAAATGCTGAGAACGTTATGAAGTAATCTTCTATTTGCACTGGTGCTATTCCCGGCTTACAGTTGACCATGCTGATGCAGCCAAGACTTTGAGAGCAGGACCTGAAGAATCAAAGAAAGAGAAGGCAAAGTGCACCCATTCACACACATGCAAAGGTGCACACACATGAACATACACACGCACACACACACGTACATGCGCATACACACACACATACACACAACATGCCCAAACACACACATGCACACACAAAGTATAACGTACTTAGTGTTTGACCCAAC